ACTTCAAGACCTACATGAACAGATAGCGGAACTCGAGTATGTTGATCAGGCGATGCCTCAACTAGAGGCCGTAGACACCCAGCCCCGTATGAGCACTAGGGCTAGTCATCCACCTAAGAGGTACGACTTTGTGATTGAGAATCAGTAGACCGTTGAGGATAACGAGCCTGCTTCCTACACTGAGGCAGTCAAAGATGTTGATTCCTCAAAGTGGCAAGAAGCCATGGAATCTGAAATAGATTCGATGCATCAGAACAAGGTATGGACCTTGGTTCCACCACCTGAGGGAATAATTCCTATTGGGTGCAAGTGGGTTTTCAAAAGGAAGACTGATGCTGATGGCAACATCCAAACCTATAAAGCTAGGTTGGTTGCGAAGGGTTACCGTCAAAGACAAGGAATTGACTTTGAGGAAACTTTCTCGCCTGTTGCCATGATCAAATCTATTAGGATCATGCTAGCGATAGCCGCATATTATGATTATGAAGTTTGGCAAATGGATGTCAAAACCGCCTTCTTGAATGGTTTCTTGAAGGAGGAAGTGTATATGACACAACCTGATGGTTTTGAGTCCAAAGGCCAAGAGCATATGGTATGTAAACTTCAGAAGTCAATATATGGGCTTAAGCAAGCTTCCAGGAGCCGGAATCTTCGTTTTGATGAAGTTGTTAAGGGTAACGGCTTTATCAAGAATGAAGATGAACCATGTGTCTACAAGAAGGTTAGTGGGAGTGCTGTTGTTTTCCTTGTGCTATATGTAGATGACATATTGCTCATTGGAAATGACATTCCCATGTTACAGTCCACAAAGGTTTGGTTGTCAGAGAACTTCACCATGAAGGATATGGGAGAGGCAGCCTACATACTAGGTATTAAGATCTATAGAGATAAATCCAAGAGATTGCTGGGATTATCCCAATCCACGTACATAGACAAGATGCTAAAGAGGTTTAGCATGGACGGGTCGAAAAGGGGGTTTTCTTCCTGTCGGTCATGGCATTCATCTCTCTAAGGCTATGTGTCCTAAGACACCTGCCGAAAGGGAACGCATGGAGAGGATTCCATATGCATCAGCAATTGGATCCATCATGTATGCCATGCTATGTACAAGACCAGACGTCTCTTATGCTTTAAGCATTACGAGCCGATACCAGTCTGACCCTGGAGAGAGTCACTGGACGGCCGTGAAGACAATCCTTAAGTACTTGAGAAGGACTAAGTATTTGTTTCTGGTTTATGGTGGCAGTAATAAGCTGAAAGTTAAGGGGTTCACTGATGCTAGCTTCCAGAGTGATAAAGACGACTGTAAATCTCAGTCAGGCTTCATCTACACCTTAAATGGTGGAGCAGTTTCTTGGAAGAGTTCCAAGCAAGAGACCACGACAGACTCTACTACAGAGGCAGAATACATAGCGGCTTCAGAAGCGGCTAAGGAGGCAGTCTGGATCAAGAAGTTCGTTGCAGAACTTGAAGTAGTTCCGAGCATTGTTGATCCAATATCTTTGTATTGTGACAACACTGGTGCAATAGCCCAGGGCAAGGAACCCAGGTCTCATCAGAGATCCAAGCATGTGCTCCGCAAGTATCACCTCATCTGGGAGATTATTGAAAGACTGGAAATAAAGATGGACTACGTCCCCACTAATGATAATTTGGCTGATTCTCTGACGAAGGGTCTCTCTCAGAGAAAACATGATAGTCATTATGAGTCTTTAGGTTTGACACGTCGACCTGATTGGCTCTAGGCCAAGTGGGAGATTGTTAGTATATAGGTGTCCAAGAGACAATCTGTTTTATCAGATGAACACCTTTTTCGAAGTGGTATTTCATGATTTATAAATTTGAGCAAACTTTATCTTTATCATATTTATGTCTCGCCAATATTTTATTGTTAATATGTGAATAAAGATAAAGACCCTATGAATAGAACAGGTGTTCACTCGGGGATCTATGATAGGGATCATGATCATGAGGACTCGAGGACACTGTATGTCTATTATCTAAAATCTGTTCCTGGTCTTGAATCACCAAGAAAGGGTATTGGTGATCTCAATAAGACTAGTACGACGTCATTTACTTGTATAAAGATACGAGGTAGGAACCTCATGGAATGCAGGCATGGTGATGCTTTAGGTGATGTCGTGGATGGATCTGTTAGAGAACAGATAGCACTGAAATGACCCACCGAGAGACTCCACAAGGATTCATTATAGAGAGTATCATTGGATTTGTAAAGTCTCTTATCGTTTGGTAGTGCAGATCGTCCTAGACTTAAGGATGTCGTCGAATACTATGTCCTAGAGTTATACTTTGACTGTACAACTTTATCCGCCTGAAAAAAGGGGAGAACAGTGTACTCTTGGGTATGACTCGAATACATGAGTATAGATGAACATGCCGAAAGGACTTCACAATCCCCTATAAGGGATTAGTCGTTCACAAGACCGGTAGGGCTTGGATGACTTCTAGTTGACTCGGGAATCTATGGATAGTAAGAGATCATGAAGAGTCATGATCTATCTTAGAATCAATGGAAGAAGATTCCTAGTTCCTGTGAAATATTATATTTAGTCAATAAAGAGAGATGATACTCTATCCTTGCTCTCGACTAAATGTGAATGACGTTGTGAGGGATGATGCTGGCATGGTATCCAAATTAGAAAGGTAGATCACTTGATCAACTCAATTAGTTCTGGGGCTGCAGAGCATTGCTAGTGTCTTATGTGGTCATTAGATAAATTGGGCCTGTTAAAAGAGTTTAATTGGTTCAAGTTTATTTATGTCAGTGACTAATTGAGCCTAATGGGTCACACACTAAGGTTATTCTTGATTGCTTACATTTAGCAAGTTTGGACCAATAAGTGTTATTGGGTTTTTCAAGACTATAGGTGTAATTGGGTTGGAGTTGAACTCCAAGTCCAATATCATCATGCGCCTTTGGACTGGATTTGTAAAGTCTCTTATCGTTTGGTAGTGCAGATCGTCCTAGACTTAAGGATGTCATCGAATACTATGTCCTAGAGTTATACTTTGACTGTACAACTTTATCCGCCTGAAAAAAGGGGAGAACAGTGTACTCTTGGGTATGACTCGAATACATGAGTATAGATGAACATGCCGAAAGGACTTCACAATCCCCTATAAGGGATTAGTCGTTCACAAGACCGGTAGGGCTTGGATGACTTCTAGTTGACTCGGGAATCTATGGATAGTAAGAGATCATGAAGAGTCATGATCTATCTTAGAATCAATGGAAGAAGATTCCTAGTTCCTGTGAAATATAATATTTAGTCAATAAAGAGAGATGATACTCTATCCTTGCTCTCGACTAAATGTGAATGACGTTGTGAGGGATGATGCTGGCATGGTATCCAAATTAGAAAGGTAGATCACTTGATCAACTCAATTAGTTCTGGGGCTGCAGAGCATTGCTAGTGTCTTATGTGGTCATTAGATAAATTGGGCCTGTTAAAAGAGTTTAATTGGTTCAAGTTTATTTATGTCAGTGACTAATTGAGCCTAATGACACACTAAGGTTATTCTTGATTGCTTACATTTAGCAAGTTTGGACCAATAAGTGTTATTGGGTTTTTCAAGACTATAGGTGTAATTGGGTTGGAGTTGAACTCCAAGTCCAATATCATCATGCGCCTTTGGACTGGATTTGTAAAGTCTCTTATCGTTTGGTAGTGCAGATCGTCCTAGACTTAAATGTCATCGAATACTATGTCCTAGAGTTATACTTTGACTGTACAACTTTATCCGCCTGAAAGTGTACTCTTGGGTATGACTCGAATACATGAGTATAGATGAACATGCCGAAAGGACTTCACAATCCCCTATAAGGGATTAGTCGTTCACAAGACCGGTTAGGGCTTGGATGACTTCTAGTTGACTCGGGAATCTATGGATAGTAAGAGATCATGAAGAGTCATGATCTATCTTAGAATCAATGGAAGAAGATTCCTAGTTCCTGTGAAATATTATATTTAGTCAATAAAGAGAGATGATACTCTATCCTTGCTCTCGACTAAATGTGAATGACGTTGTGAGGGATGATGCTGGCATGGTATCCAAATTAGAAAGGTAGATCACTTGATCAACTCAATTAGTTCTGGGGCTGCAGAGCATTGCTAGTGTCTTATGTGGTCATTAGATAAATTGGGCTTGTTAAAAGAGTTTAATTGGTTCAAGTTTATTTATGTCAGTGACTAATTGAGCCTAATGGGTCACACACTAAGGTTATTCTTGATTGCTTACATTTAGCAAGTTTGGACCAATAAGTGTTATTGGGTTTTTCAAGACTATAGGTGTAATTGGGTTGGAGTTGAACTCCAAGTCCAATATCATCATGCGCCTTTGGACTATTAGTGAAAGATTAATTTTTCTATTAATAAGCCCAAATGTGTTAGTAGGCCCAATACTGTATTGGGCCATGAATCCTAGCAAGTCAAATAGTTGACTTGGCCAAAATAAGTTTTTTGGCGCAATTCGAAATTTGAATTTAAATTTTGAATTTTCGAATTTCGAATTTGAATTCAAATTTAAATTGCGGGTTAGGATAAAATCGAATTTAATTTTATTTAAATTCAAGAGGTTAGGTAATTAAGGATAGTTTTGAATTTTCCTTATCTGTATCTAATATGATTAGATAGAGATTTATTATTTCTATTTTATTTGAATTATGAATTTAAATAAAATTATATTTAATGTAACGTCTGTCTCTTAATGCTGATTAAGGGATTTGATGAGGAAACGTTAATGTAACGTCCATCTCTTAATGCTGATTAAGGGATTTGCTGAACCACGTTAAAGTAACGTCTTTTTCTTCAGATCAAGATATACAACGCCTCTCTGGACTAAAATCAATAATTTTTGGCCACCCCTCTTTCTCTTCATCTCTCTTCCTCCATTATTGATCCTCACACCTAACCTCAAGACAAGATTACAGTCTTGAGAAAAATAAACAAAACACTTGAAAACATCCACCTTGCCGCAACCTAGCGAGCTTCCAAGGAAAGGGAGGGTTCAGGGAGAAAGCGTTTCTCAGAAGCAACCAAGAGGTAGCCGTGTGGATTACTGTTAGAGGGAGTCATCCACTTTGACACCTTCAAGTGAAAAAGGTATGAATTTTAAACCCTACGTGTTTAACGGGCAGATCCTAAAACATGAGGCGCATAGATTGTCTATGCTTCCGCATCAAAGACCATTTTTTTTTGTTTTTACCCTCATGTAGGCGCATCAAGGTGGGACCTTTGTGGAGCCAATTTTGACTTTCACCTTGCAAGCTAGCTATCCAAGTCAAGAGTCCACACAATCTCAAGGTCCACAACAGCAAGATTCATAATTTGTTTAGACCAAATATAACATCAATATCCATACTCTATAAGCATACTCAAAAGACCACGCCTTTCTCTTACGTTTTACGTCTTTAGGCTCCTCACAAAGCCACAAGCCCTTAATCAATTAGATTCTGACTTAGTTAATTATTACAGAGGTTCAACATAACCCATCATGGGTCCACAAACCATAAATATCATTCTGTATGAACAATATCATCACTGTCCACGAAAACCCAGAATATCCGGATATCTGTCGAGTGAATATCCGGATATCTCTCGGGGGCATATCCGGATATCAATATCCGAATATTTCCAACCAAATATCCAGATATTTCGCGGCAGAAACTCAGAATTTTCATTTTGCGAAATACCACTTACAAGGTTGGGTTTTTAACCCACTCCAACGTTAAAGCATGCATTTTTATCCTCTTTTAAGTTCATATACAGATTACATACTTGTTTAACTAATTAACATGCCAAGGATTCATCTTTTAATCAAGGAAACTCAAGATTACGTGAAGGGACATACCCAAGGCTTCAAAACAGAAGCAAATGGTGCTTCTTGAGATCTCCAACCAGTCTCAACACTCAGACCAAGCAAGGACACGAAAGTGGAGGTTGATGCTCACCGGCAAGTGCACCGATCGCACAAGTAATATAGATAGTAAGTAAAGTATCGTCTCCACAGGGATTGGGTCGAATATCAATTAATTGTTCTTTTAAGAATAAAAGAGTTCAAAGCTTGTGACAAATATTGTCGAATTGTGTGGAATTGAGAACTGAAAATAAAGACTTGTTTTTGTAATTTTTGCTTATGAGAAATAGATAATAAAAATAAGAATTGGTTTGTGAAAATATGAGAAAAGTATTGTAGCTAGAGCGCACTCACCTTATGATCCCCACTTCTTACTTTGGATTGATTTACAATATTCATTTATAAAATTACTCGGATAAATTATTATCTAAAATAATTAGTTAAATCCCAATCCTTGGCAATTTAACCCTTTAATCTCAATTGGAATCATAATCCCTTAAAACCCCTCATGAAAATTAAGCGATGAACTCAATAATTTAGGCATCTGCAATTCAATACACATTTATTCCTAGCATGCATACGAACTGTTATCCTACCCCCTTTCAGGATGAAAATCCCAATATTCCTATCTAGGGTTCTAACCCTCAGACTATTATCAACTATTAGAGTGATCAATTCTAATAAAGAAAATATAAAATACGAATAGGGTAGAGATAAAGATAATTATATAAACGAGCAATTATAAATCAATCTGCGTAACAAGGGTTCACATAGGGTTTGTGACCCTAACTACAATAAAATATAACTAGCCAAACTTAATCATGGCTAAAAATTCAATATTCGATAAAAGCATAAAATTAAAGAGAAGAGGAAGAAGAATTTCATCTGTAGAATCCTCTCGGAGCACCGTTGTCGTCTCTCTTCAGAAGAATAGGTCTGAATGCCTAATTCTGTCATATGGATCCTATTTATAATCCTCTTTTCTTTCTTCCAAAAATACCCCCACAGCAACACGATATCATTTTCCTGCAACCCGGCGCCGGTTTGGCACTACTTCGCGCCGCGCTACTGTCTCAAAATGAAAAGCCAGAACCGAATGCTTGTGATTTGGCGCCAGTTGGCGCCACCCTTTGCATTTTTGGGCGCCACTTGGCGCAATCCTTCCATGATGTTGGGCGCCACTTTGCGCCACAATTTTCTTCACTTTGGGGCGCCACTAAGCGCCATCCTTCCATGATGTTGGGCTCTTGTTGGCGTGGAGAAAAGGTGCACCATTTTGGTTCGTAATTGTGGCGCTAGTTGGCGCCACTTGCAATTGTCCGGTGTGGAGTTCGTAAACTGGCGCGGTCCGCACCAAGTTTCTGTCCATGGTACTGTGATACATCTGTGTGGAGTCGCGTCAACGGGCTTTTTATAATTTATAATTTTTACTCCTTTTTCTTGTATAAACACAATCAATATGTGAGAAATATTATTGACATAGAAAGAATCAATATAATTAGCAAATATGTATTTAATTTCTCTAGTATGACTCAATTCTTATCAATTTTAACACAGAAAATCACATCTGCCAGAGGCACATAAAATCATTCCCAGATTTAAACGTTGTTGTCCCCAGCAATGTACAAGACTCAATCCAGGAAACAATCAATTATTCCAACACAACATCACACAGACAATCAAGAGATCACTATGCTAAGCATGACTGAATCAACGCAAAGAACTCCTAACAATGCCTTCTATTCTCATGAAAATGTCATAGTCTAACTTGAACACCCCTCACCAAGATAAACATATAACGCTCAGCACTCAAGTGTTTGGGGGAGTAACAATCACTCAATCCATCACAGCAATAACACTACCATAAGCTTGATCATATTCTCAAGTTCCTAAAGATGAGGAACATTAACACATGCACCATTGATCAAAAGGACTTCTCAGGTTGTAATTTGGCTGGTTTAAAGAGTAGGAATATATGGAAAGTAGCTCAAACCACAATGAGATTGAAAAACTGATATTATTTCATTTTTAACACATTCAACTCAATGATTTTTTCTCCACTAACATTCCCACAGAATTTCGGGAATTAATTTCTTTCAGCCACCTTTTCTTTACATTCACCTTTTTCTTTTTCTTTCTTTTTCAAATTTTTTTATAAGGGTATAGATGAAATTTACATCCCTTACATCGCCTACATCCCCTAATTACTTGACCTCTTGTGGAGCTTACCTCAATTTCTTTGTTTTATTTTCAACATTTCAGTAATTCAATCTCAATTAAGGTAAGTCACATGGATATAGGCTAAACCATCAATCAGGCCACATGTCATTTAGCAACAAATAAGAAATAAGTTCAGGCTCAAGGGGGTTAGCAATGGAAAAAATTTCATTCAGGTGGGTTATTTTTGGCCAATAGCTAACAAGAACAAAATGCCTTTATCATATCAATCAATGCATGCATAACAGAGAAACAGAGCAAGTTCTAGAATGCTATCACAGTGAGGTCTCTCAAAATAAAATAAGTGTTTAAGCACAAAACCTCACCAGCTATGATGTCAAGCTAGACTTCCAAAAGAGACATCAGGCATCATTAATCATTCAAACAAAAAATTCAGACAAACGAGCAATCATGAAATCTACTCATGCCCATACAATATCATGCCAGAAGTTCATACAAAACATGTTTTCTATGATGAATCAGTCAAGTTAACTAGGGAAAGCATGTCTAAACCTGGGACTTGCTCATAAAATATATTTTTTTCAAATTTTTTTTTTATATATCACACAAAATAACTATAAAAATAACTAAGAAAATTAAAAGAGTTAGAATATCTCCCTTGATAGAAGAATTGCAGCAGTTCTAAGATGCAAGCCTACCATTCCCAGATTTAGAGAATTGTTGTCCTCAGCAATAATTAAACCACAAGAAGGAAGAAAAACCTGCACAATGGAACAAACAGTGGCATATAGAAGAAACTATAATGCGCACGTTAAAACTTCAGAGAAAAATATACCAACACAAAATAACTAAAAAAAATAATACGAAACAGAAAAATAAACTAATATACAAAATCTCCGTCAGCAAGGAGATATAATCAACCCTCCATGTCATCCCCCTCAGCAGCGTGGGATGACTCAGCAAATGGAAGGTCCGGTGGTACTGGATGCTTTGGTGTATGAGACCACCATTCCCAGATTTGTTCCAAACCATGAAGCCATGTTAAGAACTCTTTGAAGATTTGATTTTTCCGAGAGATAGAATCTCGGTGTCTCTTGTCAAACTTCAGCTCCTGGTGTCTCTTCCAACTTGTATCAAAGAGTTTCACCACTTCCTTTCTCGTTGCCTTCTTCTTTGTAAGATTATTCCTCCCTTGAGGTTCCCTCACATTTTTGTCATCATCCTTATTAAGAATTTTGTGAGTACGGGAAGGGGGATCTTTATCCGAATCCTTCAACTCTATTTTTGGGGCACCATCTTCTTTGTCAGAATCCTTCTTCTCAAGAACTTCAAACACAACACTTTTTTCTTCCTCAAAAGGAACAATATCTCGCGCTTCTAGTTCTTCCTCAAGCTCTTGAATAGAAGATTTCTCTTCTTCCACCAATTCTTCTAAGGCATCAAGTCTGAAACAATCACCTTCATCAGAAACTTGTATCATAGAATCAAAGACATTGATGGTGATAGTCTCATCATTCATCCTTAACTCGAGTTTCCCTTCTTCAACATCAATCATAGCCCGAGCAGTAGCCAAGAAGGTCTACCCAACAACAAAGGCATTTCAGTACCCTCTTCCATATCCAACACTACAAAATCTGCTGGGAAGATGAACTTGTCCACTTTAACAAGAACATCTTCAATAATACCACTCGGTTTCCTCAAAGATCTATCAGCAAGTTGCAAGGAAATCTTAGAAGGCTTGAGCTCAGAGGTTCCTAGAGATTTATACACAGACAAGGGCATCAAATTTATACTTGCCCCAAGATCACACAAAGCTTTGCCAACATTTTTGTTACCAATGACAATAGGAATGTTACAACTCCCTGGATCACGACGCTTACAAGGGAACTTTTTCTCTATAATAGCACTGCACTCTTCAGTAAGTGCAACAGTTTGGCATTCTTGCAGCTTATGTTTCCTAGACAACAGATCCTTCATGAACTTGGCATAATTTGGCATGCTAGCCAAGGCTTCAGCAAAAGGGATATTTATATGCAACTTCTTGAAGATATCTAGGAACCTAGCATAATGCTGCTTCTGAGCATCATCCTTGAATCGTTCTGGATAAGGTGCCATAGCTCTCATATATTCTGGATTCAGCTCAAATTTCTTCTTTTCAACTGGCTTCTCCACTTCAGCAGGTATCACCACCTCTTTTTCTGGCTCCTCAACCGCCTTAAGCTTCTCATTAGCTTCCACATTTGTGTTTGGCTTTTCTGGAGCTGCTACCACTTTACCACTTCTAGTTGTGATAGCCATACAATCCTCCTTGGGATAAGTAACTGTATTGCTAGGGAAGGTACCTAGAGTTCTGTCAGCCATTTGTTTGGCCAGCTGGCCAATTTGATTCTCCAAATTTCTGATAGAAGCCTGTGTGTTCTTGGTATTGGCCCTTGTCTCCTCCATGAAAACATTTGAATGTTGGGCCATTTGTCCCACTAGCTTCTCCAAATCAGAAGGTTCTTTGTATGGGATTCGTGGAGGCTGCAGATAATTGTTAGAACTATAATCAATACCACCTCCTTGACCTCTCTTCTGAAAATTATTGCCCCCAGAAGGATAATTCTGACCTCTTTGAACATTTTGTTGCTGGGGTCTCTGATTATACCAAATGCCATTCATTTGCATTTGTTGAGGTGAATCAGAAGCTAGCAAAGACGGACATTCATTAGATTCGTGATTGTCCTGGCAATATTCACACACAACAGCCGCTTTAGTCTGAACACCAGCAAACTGCATCTTGTCAAGCCTTGATGTCAAGTTTGCTACCTGCTGAGATAACAAACTGTTTTCAGCTAACACTGCATCATTACCTTCCAGTTGAAGGATACCTCTCTTAGGCTTGGATGACATCACTTGATTTTCGTTGGCAGCCATCCTCTTAATCAACTCAAAAGTCTCATTTGCTCTAAGAGTTTTAATAGTTCCACCTGCTGCACCATTCAACACCATCGTCACCTCAGGTTTGCAGCCATTGAAGAAGATTCTCACCTGATTGCCAGCAGTCAAGTCATACTGAGGACACCTCCTCAATAAATCCTTGAATCTGTTCCATGCTCCACACATAGTTTCACCCTGTAGCTGGGTGAAATTGGTGATATCATTCACCATCTGGTTATACCTTTCCATCGAGAAGAACTCAGCAAAGAACTTCTGAGACATATCATCCCATGTAGAAATACTTGTTGCAGGCTGCCTCTCCAACCAACTAAGAGTCTTTCCCTTAAGAGCAAAAGGGAACAGCCTCAACCGGATCGCATTCGACACCTGAGGGTGTTTGGTTGAGTCACAGATCCTCAAGAATCTGTCAACGAATCGGTGAGGATCTTCAATCTCCTCTCCTCCAAACTGAGCTCTCTCCACCAATTGAATATGAGAGGACTTGAGCTCCCAATTGTTGGCAACATTTGGCTGAACAATGCTCGCATTGGGCCTGTTGAATAATGGAGTTAGGATAGTATCCATGAGCGGATTGTCCTCTTCATTATTCTGTGCCATCTTGTGTGCTTCTTCAGATAGACTTCCTAACTCGTTGAATGCAAGCTTCTTCCGAGCAAGTTTTCTGTTCCTCTTTTCTGTTTTAGTGATTTCCAAATCAAGTGGAAATTCTGGCTCTTTACCTCGCATAAAACTCAGAAAAGATATTAGTAGCACTGTTCAAGAATCACAGAGAAATCAAATATAAAAATAAAAAAAAATAAAAAATCCAATCTTAAAAATCAAAATCAATTGATATAAGAAACGCCAATCCCCGGCAACGGCGCCAAAAACTTGATGCTCACTGGCAAGTGTACCGATCGCACAAGTAATATAGATAGTAAGTAAAGTATCGTCTCCACAGGGATTGGGTCGAATATCAATTAATTGTTCCTTTTAAGAATAGAAGAGTTCAAAGGTTGTGACAAATATTGTCAAATTGTGTGGAATTGAGAACTGAAAATAAAGACTTGTTTTTGTAATTTTTGCTTATGAGAAATAGATAATAAAAATAAGAATTAGTTTGTGAAAATATGAGAAAAGCATTGTAGCTAGAGCGCACTCACCTTATGATCCCCACTTCTTACTTTGGATTGATTTACAATATTCATTTATAAAATTACTCGGATAAATTATTATCTAAAATAATTAGTTAAATTTCAATCCCTTGGCAAATTAACCCTTTAATCTCAATTGGAATCCTAATCCCTTAGCAACCCCTCATGAAAATTAAGTGATGAACTCAATAATTTAGGCATCCGCAATTCAATACACATCTATTCCTAGCATGCATACGAACCGTTATCCTACCCCCTTTCAGGATGAAAACCCCAATATTCCAATCTAGGGTTCTAACCCTCAGACTATTATCAACTATTAGAGTGATCAATTCTAATAAAGAAAATATAAAATACGAACAGGGTAGAGATAAAGATAATTATATAAACGAGCAATTATAAATCAATCCGCGTAACAAGGGGTCACATAGGGTTTGTGACCCTAACTACAATAAAAAATAACTAGCCAAGCATAATCATGGCTAAAAATTCAATATTCGATAAAAGCATAAAATTAAAGAGAAGAGGAAGAAGAACTTGATCTGCAGAATCCTCTCGGAGCATCGCTGTCATCTCTCTTCAGAATAATAGGTCTAAATGCCTAATTCTGTCATATGGATCCTATTTATAATCCTCTTTTCTTCCTTCCAAAAATACCCCCATGGCAACACGGTATTATTTTCCCACAACCCGGTGCCAGTTGGCGCCGGTTTGGCGCCACTTCACGCCGTGCTACTGTCTCAAAATGAAAAGCCGGAACCGAATGCTCGTGACTTGGCGCCAGTTGGCGCCACCCTTTGCATTTTTGGGCACCACTTGGCGCCATCCTTCCATGATGTTGGGCCCCACTTTGCGCCACAATTTTCTTCACTTTGGGGCGCCACTAGGCGCCATCCTTCCATGATTTTGGGTGCTTGTTGGCGTGGAGAAAAGGTGCACCGTTTTGGTTCATAATTGTGGCGCTAGTTGGCGCCACTTGCAATTGTCTGGTGTGGAGTTCGTAAACTGGCGCGGTTTCGCGCCAGTGTGGTGCCGGTCCGTGCCAAGTTTCTGTCCATTGTACTGTGATACATCTGTGTGGAGTCGCATCAATGGGCTTTTTATAATTTGTAATTTTCACTACTTTTACCTGTATAAACACAATCAATATGTGAGAAATATTATTGACATAGAAAGAATCAATATAATTAGAAAATATGTATTTAAGTTGCTCTAGTATGACTTAATTCTTGTCAATTTTAACACAGAAAATCACATCTGCCAGAGGCACATCAGAGGGCAAAGGTTGGTCCTTGGCACCAAAGATCACTCCTTGGAGCTCCCCGCACCCAAGGAATGGTGCTCACAACAAGTCTCACCCACACAGCCCCTCAACAGAACACTAAACAGCAACAAAACTCAGACACAAGACCCTCCTCCCACACAAGTCTCAACCACACCCAACCATAGTGTTTAGATGAAGAAAAGGTATAAAAAGGTGGCTACTTTGGAGGTTTCTTAGAGGAGTTGAAGGTTGCAAGGAAGAGAGGCTGATCAGCAGCCAAAATGCCCACGTAGAGTTGTAGTAGGGCCTAGGGTTGAGTGCCAAAGTTGTATAAATAGTCACTTAAGTCATAAACACACAATATTATCGTTAATTGCTACGCTTAGTATTTTAATCCCAAACTTTGACATCTGAACCTACTCAATTTTCTAAGATTTATCATATTTTTCTTTTATTTTTCGCAGCACCTTTCCGGTACGCGCATTTCCATAGCCAGTATCAGTTCTGGCACCAGTTCTCATTATTTTAACTTGAAATTCATTTTACAAGTCCTATATATTATTCAAGGAATATTCATGCACTTATTATAATTTTTCGGGATACTTCATTGGTACGCCTTTATACCGAGTAGCAGAACCGGTATCTACACTTTTCGTCAGAAAAATAACTTTCAACATTCTTAATCACTTACCATTATTATTTGAACCTCATAATAATTATTAGGGTCAATTATGGAATTATTTCCTAATTTCTCATAATTAATTAATTAAATTCCTTAATTAACGGTGCGGGTTCTTACAGAAAAGGTGCTGCAAAAAATAAAATAAAAATATGAAAAATCTTAGAAAAATGAGTAGGTTCAGATTCCAAAGTTTGGGATTAAAATGCTAAGCGTAGCTATTAGTGCTAATATTGTGTGATTAATTTTAAACTGGCTATATATATTAAGAGGCACACGATCCTAGGTCAGAATTGCAACCCTACGTGCCTCCATTTTTCTGAAACATCTCCAGCCACCTTGCCACCCCTTCTTCTCCACTTGGTGAGCCAAAGTGAGCACCTTTGCTCTTAGTTTCTTCACAAAAATACCTTGGCCTTGTGTGAGCTTGCATTGTGTGTGGAAAAGAGCCACAATTTCTGAGTTCTAGCTACTGTCTTGGTGAAGTCTAGGTGCTGACTTTGTAGTAGTGTTGTGAGAGCCTTTGGTGATGACTCTTTGAGCTTCAAAGAGCCATCTTTGGGTGCCAAGAACCAACCTTTGGGGTGCCATTTTCGTTTGCCTTGTGAAGTCAGACTTGAGGAGCTGTGGTGAGAGCTCCAAGAGCCATTGTTGCTCTGTTTTAAGCTTGGGTAAGCTTCATCACCTTAGATCATGAGTTTATTATGTTAAAATTTGAGTCTTGCCATGTTTAATAAGATAAACAAGTAACCAACGTGATAACTGACCTAGAGTGGTTTAAAGATGCATGCTTTAATGTTTAGAAGTGTTAAAAATGGAACCTTGGGGGTGATATCTCGCGAAATGCAGAAATTGCATTCTGTCGCGAAATATCCAGATATGGATATCCGGATATTGATATCCAGATATGGGGTTCTGTGATATCCGAATATGGATATCCGTATATGATATCCGGATATGCATATCCGAATATGGCCCTGACAAATATTCAGATATTCTGCGTTGTCGAAGAACATCAGTTGTATTGTTCATACAGAAGGCTGTTATGGGTTTGTGGAGCCTAGATTAAGTGATTAAACTAATTACGTAATAATTAAACTAAGTCATAATCAAGTGATTAAGGGTTTGTGGCTTTGTGAGAAGCCTTAAGACATGAAATATAAAAGAGAAGCGTTGTCTTTATGTATATACTTATGAGCTACGGTTGTTGATATGATTGCTGGTCCGAAACAGATTGTGATTCTACTGTGTTTGGGCATTGAGCTTGTGTGGACTCTTGGCTTGGATAGCTAGCTTGCAAGGTAAGCTTTTGTGTCCTCGATTTAGCCATTGTGTGGTTCCACCATACCCCATGGGGGAATGGTTTATATGCATGATGTGTTTACATGCTTTGATAATTGAAAATGTTGTTGAGCTTTATATGCAATTGCTTATAATATTTATGTGTTGTTCCACTTAGACGGTAAGCCTAAGTATATGGCGTCATAGAAGACGGTGACACTACGGGTGGGTGCAAGTGGCGTCTTGCACTAGTATGGGTAATAGACGTATTCCAACTTTTCTCTGGCCAGTAGATTAGTTATAACACACATGACATGATTATTTGCTGCATTGCACTGTTTTGGAACTTATATTGTTAAACTGTTTTTGAACTTATATTACACATGTAAGTGAGCTTGGGGTGGAAGATCCTTGAGGACCCCTTGCCTTACTAAGATTTCTGTTTAGAGATCTCACCCCACGCTTGGGGCGCTTATTTCAGGTTCAGGTAACCCAGGAGTTGAGACCTCTAGCGGCAGGAGGCCGGAGCTTAGTTGATTGACATGTTTGCATATTATGCTGATGCACCTGCTTAGTGTTTATGCTTTATCCATTATTATGTTGTTGTATTGAGACTTGATGAGTATGCTGTTTATTTGGTGAGCATGGGGATTGTCCATGCCACATTGATTTGTCGAAGTTAAGTTATTGGAGTTGTATTAATATATCAGGATATTGTCCAGACTACGTGTCGTAGATCCGTGACTTAGATACTCACTTATTTATTTACGAGGTATTTCATTTAGCTGTCTTTTGCAATTTACATACAGGCGATATTTTTATGAAAATGGTTACGTAATCAACTTGGCTAAGTTTAATGACGTCATAATTGAAAAGAAAAAATATTCCGCATTTTTAATTAAGTGTGGCTTAATACGATGTCATGTTAACAAACCGGGTATACACGGGGTGTTACATCAAGCTTCCTCAGTAAAGCCGCCATTTTTCTTTCTTTTATTCTGCCATCTCCTTGTTCCACCATACTTGTGTTACAACAATAGCCAAGATAGGGAAGAAAGCCCAAGACAGGACCTTGTACGTACTAGCTTGGTATTAGAGCACAGGTATGGAGGAGAGAGTAGAAAAGATAGAATCTTTGATAGAACAATTCCACAAGATGTTGACCTAAATCACCCACTGGTTGGAAATACAAGCAGCTGCGACTCACATAGGGCAGAAGACTAATCATTCGTCTAGGAGTAATATATCAATGTAAGAACCCACACCGTTAAATTAGGAAACGATTCCATAATTAACCCTAATAATTATAATAAGGCTTAAATAATTATGGTAAGTGATTAAATATGTTGAAAGTCGTTTTTCTGACGAAAAGTGCAGATACCGGTTCTGCCTCACGGTATAAATGCGTACCGATGAAGTATCCCGGAAATTTATAATAAGTATGGGAATATTCCTAGAATAATACATAGGACTGGTAAAACAAGTTTCAAGTCAAAATAATGAGAACTGGTGCCAGAATTGATACTGGCTAAGTAAAAGCGCGTACCGAAAAGGTGCTGCGAAAAATAAAATAAAAATATGAAAAATCTTAGAAAAATGAGTAGGTGTTTGGGATTAAAATGCTAAGCATAGCTATTAGCGCTAATACAGTGCGATTAAAACTTAAGTGGCCTATATAAGGCCTTGGCACATGATCCTAGGTCATTGTTTGGTGCCTTCTACGTGGGAAACCCTACAGCTGATCAGCCTCCACTGTTTCATTGTCTTCTCTTTTCCATTTTGAGACCAAGGAACCACCTTTCTCCATAAAACCTTCACCAAAACACCGTTGTTGAGTGAGAGTTGGTCTTGTGAGGGGGAGTGAGAGCCATTTCTGTGTGCTCAGCCACTGTTTGGTTGGTGTTGTGAACTGACTTCACAGTTTGGGGAGAGGGAGAGCTTGTATCTTGTTGGTGTTGATCCAAGGAGCCATTTTTGTGAAGCAAGGAATCATTTTGCTGCTCATTTTCGTGCTCCCTTAGTACCAGCACCTTGAAGCTGACTTGAGAGCTCCAAGAGCATCATCCACCTCTATTTTGAGTTTGGGGTATGATCATCACCTTTGTTCGTGAGTTTTCTTAGTTAAAAATGAATCCTTGATGCATGTAATAAGCCAAAGTTCATAACTTAAGGTTGGATAAGGTTAAACACACCTGGAAATGCATGTTTAAGCTTATGGAATCGCTAAAAGAGCAACCTTTGGGAAGGATATCTCGCGAAGTGCAGAACTGCATTCTGTCGCGAAATATCCGGATATGGTATCCGAATATTGATATCCGTATATGGTATCCGGATATTGATATCCGGATATGGGGTCTTCAGATATCTGAATATGTATATCCGGATATGATATCCAGATATGTCCCCGACAAATATCTGGATATTCTGGGAATTTTGAGACAGTAGCTGTACTGTTCATACAGAATGGCATTTTGTGTTTGTGAACCCTTGTGTGGTCAATGTTGATTTCTGTAATAATTAATCTAAGTCAGAATCTAAGTGATTAAGGGCTTATGGCTTTGTGAGAAGCATAAAGACATGAAACGTAAGAGAAAGGCGTTGTTTTTATGTCATATGCTTGTAGAGTATGAATCTTGATATGATTGTTGGTCTAAAACAGATTGTGATCTTGCTATTTGTGGACTTTGAGCTTGTGTGGACTCTTGGCTTGGATAGTTAGCTTGCAAGGTAAGCTTTCGTGTCCTCGGTTTAGCCATTGTTGGTTCCACCATACCCCGTGGAGGGATGGTTTATATGCATGATGTTGTTTTCATATATTGAATTGTTGAAATGCTATTGAGTTGTTATGTGCGAGTGCCTTATGATATGCATGTGGTGTTCCACCTATACGGTAAGCTTGAGTATGTGGGGACATACAAGATGGTGAGGCTGTGGGTGAGGTGCAAGCGGTGTTCCTTGTACTAATTGTGGGTTGTAGACGTACGTACATCCTGCATTTCTCTGGCCAGTAGAATAGTTTACATACATGGCATGATTATCTGCTGCAATGCATCGGTATTGAACTTATATTGTTAAACTGCTTTTAGAACTTATATTGCACATGTAAGTGAGCTTGGGGTGGAGAAATCCTTGAGGCCTCCTTGTCTTACTGAGATTTCTGTTTAGATATCTCACCCCATGTTTGGGGAACCATTTTCAGGTTCAGGTAACTCGGGGTTGAGACCTCGGGCGGCAGGAGGTCAGAGCTGAGTTGAGATGTTTGATGTTATGCTGATATGACTGGCTGTTATTCTGATTTACTGCCTTTATTATTATGATGTTATTGTTGAGACTCTGTTGGGCTTTGTTGCCTTATTTGGTGAGCATGGGGATTGTCCATGCCACTTTGACTTGTCTTATGGTTTAGCTTGAGTTGTATAATTGTATCAGGATTATGTCCGGTCTATGTGTTGTAGTTCCGTGACTTAGATACTCACTTATTTATATATGAGGTTATTCAGTGTAGATAGCTGTTTATTTGCAATTACATACAGGCGATGTTTTATGAAAAGCATTAAGTAATCAACTTGGTAATATTAATGATGTCATAATTGAAAGTAAAAAGTTATTCCGCATTTTTAATTAAGCAAAGCTTAATACGATGACATGATAACAAACCGGGTATACACGGGGTGTTACATTTTATGGTATCAGATCATTTTCTAGGGAAAAGTCTGTATGTATTGCAATAACTTAGGATGTTTTGTAGCGAGTCTGTCTTGTGTGTTTCCTCTGATGGGTTTTGCTATGATGATGCACGTGTGACCACATTGCGTGGGCCTTATCAACTCATTCTTTGTGTAACTTGTGCAGAGTCATGGTAATGCCTAGGAGAAACTAAGAGACGAATGAGGATCAGCCGGATCCTGTCCTGACTGCATTAGTTGAGATGCAGGCGGCTAGGTTAGCCGATCAGGAGGCTGCTAGATTGGCCAACCAGGCGATGATGGACGTCGTTCAAGAGGCGAATCGGAAGGCCACGGAAGATGTCCTCGAGGCAAACAGGCTGGCGAACATGACCATGATGAGGGTCATGTTGGAGGAGATGCGGGCTGGCCGCAATGAGGGTCAGTTCCCTCCGCCACCACCTCCACCGCCACCACCGCCGCCTCCTCCACCTAGTCTTCAGGACGATAGCCAGAGTCGCGTTGAGGGCACTGGACACCTTACTGGGGTGATGGAACCCTACATGGAGCCTGTTGAGGATCGTGACGTGATAGACTGCCGGCTTAATGCTTTTCGCAAGCATATGCCACCTTCCTTTGATGGGTCTTATAATCCCATTGCTGCTGCGAGATGGCTTCAGGCGTTGGATAATATCTTTTGGGTCATGCAGTGTACTGATCCGCAGAAGTTAATGTTCGCCACATATATGCTAGAGGGCGATGCACATGAGTGATGGATGAACACCTCTCACGCCTATGAGATGCAGGGTCATGTGATGACGTGGCTATTCTTTGAGGACTGTTTCCTTGGGAGGTATTTTCCATATGAGGCTCAGGAGAGGAAGCAGGGAGAGTTTGACAGATTGGTGCAGGACTTGATGTCTGTTGACGAGTACCTGGCTAAGTTTAATGAGCTGGTAAAGTTTGCACACTTTCAGATGGCGATGCCTACTCCGACCTTTTTGGCTGCTAAGTTCCGCAGGGGACTTAATAAGGAGATTGCAGATCTGATTGCTGGGGTAGCGTCTAGAGATTTTGGTACACTGGTACAGCAGTGTAGGGACATTGAGGATGTATGCATAGTGAGTAAGGCCAAGAGGGCCATGATTGCTGAGGCAAAGGGAACTGGTAGTTCCACTTCCTGGAGAGAAAGGAAGTTTGGGGGAAAAGGTAAAGGAAAGCAGTTGGTGGCTAGGCAAGCGCCAAATCAGTTTAAGAGGACTTCCACTCACGGGAGTACAGCGAGACCTCCTGCTCTCAGATGACTGGATAGACAAGCCCCCAACAGCATCAGAACATGGGATGAACTGGCGGCTAAATTCTTTGCTGAGCACTTCTCCAGGGAGAAATACAATAAGTTGGTGAATGAAATCACCAACTTCACTCAACAACCAGGAGAAACTCTATGTGCAGCTTGGACCATATTCCAAGAACTGATCAGAAAGTGCCCCGCATATGATCTGCCAGAAGGAAAGAAGGTCAGAATCTTCTACAATGGAATGACACCAGATTCCAGAATGGTTGCCAATGGTGCAGCCGGTGGGACCATAGCAAAGAAGACAGCAGCTGAAACTTTAGAGCTGATCGACTTCATGGCAAGGGATGATAACACATCAATAACAGTTCAAACAAGAAGGGGAATCCTTCAGTTGGGAAACAATGATGTATCACTTGCAGAACAAAAGATTCTATCTCAACAGTTAGCTAGTCTGAATGCAAAGTTGGACAAGTTGCAATTCTCTACTGCTCAAGTTGACTTGGTGAACTATGAGTATTGCCAAGGTGAGCATGATACTAACGTTTGCCCAACATTGGTAGGAACAGATGCTTTACAAGTGAATGGAATCTGGTATGAACCAAGACCACAGCAGAATTTCCAGAGAAACCAGAACAATGCTCCAGAAAGGAGGATTCAAGGTGGAGGTTTGGATTACAAATCCAATAACTATTTACAACCTCTTCCAGTTCCACAAACTCAAATATCTGAGCTAGAGAAAGCACTGATACAGTTCATGAACGAGACAAGGACTCATCATAAAAATCAAGATGCTTCAATCAGAAATCTGGAAACTCAAATTGGGCAGTTGTCAAGACAATTAGCTGAGAGAAGTCCTGGAACATTCCCTAGTGACACTATAATCAACCCAAGGGAGCACTGCAATGCCATCACTACTAAAAGCAAAGATCTAGAAAAAATGGAAGCTTCTACAAGGAAGAATGAGCACACTCAAGAAGTCAAGGAAGAAGCAAATGAGCAACCTCCTACAATTCAAAAGAAGCAATGGGATTTCTCACGATCTGAGAAACCTCCATATCCCATGGGGAGCAAGCAACATAAGCAAAGGAAGCAAATGTCTAAATGTTTAAAAATTTTTAAGAAATTGCAAATTAACATTCCTTTTGCAGAAGCTTGGGAGAAAATGCCTTCATATGCAAGGTTCCTGAAGGAATCATTGTCTAAAAAATGGAAGCTCACAGAGGACGAACCGGTCATGCTAACAGAGGAGTGCAGTGCAATCTTACAGAAAAACATGCCTCCAAAAGTGAAGGATCCAGGGAGCTTCAGTATTCCATGCACCATCGGCAAGACGACTATAGAGAAAGTCTTATGCGATCTTGGTGCTAGAATAAATGTGATGCCCCTCACCCTGATGAAGAAGCTGGGAATTGATGAAGTAAAGCCAACGAGGATGACTGTTCAACTGGTTGACCGCTTAACAAAGCAAGCACATGGTATTGTGAAAGATGCGCTCGTCAAGGTAAACAAATTTCTAATACCTGTTGATTTTGTTATTCTTGACATTGATGAAGATGCTAGTGTGCCTATCATCTTCGGGAGGCCATTCCTAGCAACCTCAGGAGCGCTAATCGATGTACCTAAGGGTGAATTAATAATTCGCGTGGATGGAGAGCAAGCAACATTCAAAGTACTTACAAATGAAGCTCCAGTGCCTGCATCTCAGCCTAAAGATCAAGTTAACTACATTGCTGAGAAAAAGGTTGAGAAAGGGAACAAGAAGGAAGTCCCTCAGCGGCATGAAGAAAGCAAGCCAAAGGTTAAGATGGAAAAGCCCAAGAGCAAGGAAGAACATATGAAACCTAAGCTTAAAGTTTCTGAGAAGCCTCCTCCCCACCCACGTGCATATGATGCTGGAAAGACACAATGCTGGATCAAGAAGACTGGGTCATCAATGTTGGCATGCTTTCAACCACCGTAATCACAAGGGGTACGTCAGGCTCGTGACGTTAAACAAGCGCTAACTGGGAGGCAACCCAATAGCAATTTTCCTGTTTTTATTTATTTGCTTAGTTAGTTTATTTTTAACAAGTCAAGTAATTGGGGAATTAGTGACCATATGAAAAAAAAATTAATTCGGAAATTGGCGCTAGCAGCGCCAACTTGGCGCTAGTAGCGCCACAAGACTGAAAAGAAACAGTGAGCTCTGCGCTCGCAGCATGAACTCCACGCTGTCAGCGCCAGAAACCCACGGAAGACTCGCGCCAACAACGTGAAATCCATGCTGGCAACGCTACTGGGTCCAAAAGTTCCAGTGAGATCCGCGATCACAGCGTGAACTCCACGCTGTAAGCGCCAGTATTCTCACCATTTACCTTGACTTTTGTATTTTCTTTTTGCTATTTTTAGATTATGGTTAGATTACGTCTCCCTTTTAATATATTTCACTTTTATGATTATTCTGTTTGATGTTTAACAAGTGTGTGAGTGTTCTATCTGTGCAGAAGTAGCTTCACTCAACTAGTTTAGTTGTTGCTGAGGACATCAACGTTCTAAATCTGGGAATTGGTCGCATACATTATGTGATACCTGCTAACTGCGAAACTACACATCAGAGAAGGCGTCTAACAGAAATTTTTCTGAAAAAGGGGAGATATTTTAATATTGTTTTTGCTGTTTTAATTCAATTAATTTTCTTTAATTGAATTTTTTTAGTAAAATAAAAAAATTACAAAAATAGTGAATTCCTGAACAAGCGTTCCTAGATTTTACAAAGCTTACTCAGTGATTAAATAGATTGGATTTTAATAAGCATGATATCTGTGGAGCATTCAATTATTTTTATAATCTGAGAATGATGATTGCTCGTTTGTATAACTGTTTTTGTGAAAATTCTTAGATAATGCTTGATGTGAAATTTTGAAATTAGATTCTAGCTTGAATTATAACTGTGAGGATTGAGCCTATACAGAAATATTTTTTCAGAGAGGCCTCACTGTAGTAGTTTTCTAGAACTTGAACTGTTTCTCTAGCTTGCATGCATAACTGATATGATAAGGGCACGTTTATTCTTGTTAACCTAGAGCCAAATAGCCTACCTAGAAAGATTTTTCATTGTTAGCCCTTTTGAGCCTTAGACCAATTTATTCAAAAACCTGATGAAATTACTTAACCATTTCTCCATTGACACACCTTGAAAGAGATTGAAATGCTGATCTAAGGAAAAAGTCAAGATACTTCTCAAAAGAAAAGTTAAGTAAATTGAAAAAAGAAAAAGAAGAAATTTGCAGCTCAAAAGAGAAAAGAAAGAAAACATCTGCAAATAAGGAAAGAAAAGAAAAAGGTAGTGAAAAAGGGAAAAGAATCCCAAATTGATGAAATGTGGCAGAATTAAAAGACTGAGAAGGAAGTAATGTCAAAACTCTCAGGATTTCAGTCTCTCAACTTAATTAGCCTCTGACCAAAAGATTCTTACCCCCAAACCAGGCCAAGTTATAACCTATCAAAAGACCTTTTGATCAGTCTATGCATGTCAAATGGGTTCCTCAATCTTAGGAATTGAGAATATGTTCAAGCTTATGGAATTACTGTTACACTGATGGAATGAGTGTGAGCCCCTCAAACACTAGAGTGATGAGGGTATATTTATCCGGTGAGGAATATTCAAGTTAGGATCTGGATTCTTGATACAACTGAAAAGCATTGTTTGAACTTTTTAATAGGGAGTTATACATGCATAGCAGTCTGATTTCTTAAGATGTTCATGTTCCATGTTGTTCTTCACAAAGTTAATCTTTGCTTCTAACTTTAATCTATTACATTGCTGATGACAGCAACGTTCAAATCTGAGAATTGTTTGATATGCCTCCATCATATGTATAAATCTAAGCCAAAAAGATAAAGAATCTTGGTCAATCTTGAATAATAAGGGCTAGAATTGGTACTAATTTGATAAATCTCAATCAGATATCTTGTTACTGATTTTCTGTTGATTTTGTAGGGAAACAAGACAAAAAGAAGCCTATTTGGAAGTACCAGGCTGAAGTCCCACGCTATTAGCGTGAAACCCACGCTAGTAGCGCCAGAAGAAATTTTTCATACAAAAGTCCCACGCCATTAGCGTGAAACTCACGCTAGTAGCGCCAGAATTAAATTTCATCTCGAGACATCCACGCTCACAGCATGAAACTCACGCTAGTTGCGCCAGACCTTCTGGCAACCCACGCTCTCAGCGTGGGAACCACGCTAGTAGCGTGAACCTTCAGTGTGCTGAATAAAACTCCCACGCTATTAGCGTGAAACTCACGCTAGTAGCGCGGGAGGTACAGGAAAATCTTTATTCCATCTCAAAGTGAATCAAAGGAAGATTGGACCAAGATACACAATGAAGATTCGATCAAGATTTCTAAGCAAGGCATAAACTCTATAAATAGAGACTCAGACCTCAGAGAAAAATAATCTTTGGCTGGAGAGAGTTCTTGGAGGCTCACGCTGGAGATCAAGATTTTGACAGAGTTGAAGACTGAAGACTATTGATTCTTCCTCTTCTTCTTCTTTATTACTTTCATGAATACTTTTTATTTATTTAATTTTTTTAAGCCAACTATGTCTGGCTAGTTTGTTTTTGTAGTTGGGATCACGGACCCGATGTGAATCCTTTATAATTTCTGTATTGATATTTTATAAGTTAATTAGTTAGTTTGTTTTATTCTACCTGGTTTAATTTTTCATATCCTGTTTAGAACCAATCACTCTAAATTATAGGGCTTTGAGGGTTAGGACTCACAATAGACATATTGGGGTTTTAGTCTGGACAAGGGTAGAATAACAATTTGTGTATGATCTAGACATAGCTTACATAAATTGCAGACTCATAATTCATTTGCTTAATGCTTAATTCAAGAGGGATTACTAAGACCTTAGAATTCTGATTAGGTTAAAGGGTTGAAATCACTAAGATATAATGGGTTCAACTATTTTATAGGGAAATAATGAATTGTCTGAACAAACGAATTAATTAATTATAAAATACAATATAGGAATATAAGGGAGGAACGGAGGTGAAGTGCATCCTGGCTATATATTTTTTATTAAATTTTCATCAATATTTTCTCGCGTTCTTGATATCTTCTTGCATGCGTTCAACCTTAATTGTTTTTAATTTTCTGTTTTAAATTTAATTCTTTTTTTAATTCTGTTTTGAAATTCCAAATTCAATTACTTTCTCAAATTCAAACCAATTTTATTTTCCAACTTAAAGGGAATAGTTAAACTAGTACTTGGTGAATTAATTCTCGTGGGAACGATACTCTACTTATCACTTAAATACTTAAAACGAACGGTATACTTGCCGATTTCGCAACATTGTCCTCATTATAATATCTTGATTTAGTTAAAGGTGTATATTGTCCTATAATTTACTCTGATACATTCCTGTTTTGCCTTAATAATGACCTTCTATGTTTGATTCATTTTGAAATTAATATTTTGAAATATTTATTTTAATTTTTTATATACATGAATATTTATTTGGAATTATTTGCTCTCATTCATATTTAATTTTGTGAGCTCTTATTCATGTTTAATTTTGTAATAAATATTTATGTTCCTTTTTTCAAAATTTTAATAAATGAAAATTGTTACATATTATCATGATTATAATGTTAGTATCTACTCTCTCGATTTTAGCTTAGATTTTATGTGCTTTGTCAATTAAGTTTGATTAGTGAGCTAAGATATATAATTGCTGATATTGGGGATTGAAATTTATGATACAAATTATAATTTAGTAAATGCAATATGAATTTGGGAAACATATGCTATAAGATTTTTCATATTATTTAGGTATGATTATTCAGAATGTTATTTGCAAATCGTCAGGGTTCTTTATTAATAAAATTTATTGTTTGCAATTATCTACTCCAAAGGAAGTTATTGTATGCATTAATTTTGAAATTTGCATTGAGTTAAAATTTCAAATAATGTGAAATAATTATGTATTGTGTACTCTGTCCAAAGGAGAGTTTATAATAAGCTAATTATTTCGTTAAGATTACTTCATTGCCCACAATTAATATAATTGCATTTATGCAATAAATATATTTTTGATATGAACGCTAACAATGCCATAATAGAATTGTTGATTGGGTTGAATTGTGAATAATGGAGATGAGATCTAGATTTTTTTTTATGAATTTTGATCTTGATAGGGCATTGTGTGTTAGCCTATAATTAATGTAGAGAACGTACTTGATGTGTTTTTTGTGTGGGAGAGATATGATTAATTTTGCGTGATCTTGAAGTTATTGTTGAGTCAGTGGGAGATAATTGCTTAGTTTTTAATGTCAGGATATGGGTTTATTTTGAAATGAATTTTCTATAAGGCCTTTTTGAGAAAGATTTTGAATTCTATATCCTTTTTAAATCAACATGGATTTTATTTTACATTAATGGTGATCTGATGAGATAGTGACTTTCTTGATCTATGATGAAAATAATTTATGTTAGTATATTTATCATAAGGTCGGTGGGAGAAAAATTCATTTTCTTGTATTATATGTGAATGACTTAGTTGTTGAGAATATTGACTGACTCTCTAACCAAATGATTTAGGTCCATGATAAATACATGTGAAGAATATGGGCATTGTTAATTCCTTTGATTTAGTTGATTAGTGGGAGTTTGAATCATTTATTATTTTTTTGTCATGTTGAACAATTTATTTTAGATATAATTGATGTTTATTTGACAGATAAATTTTATTTTGAACAATTGATAAGGATTTGAGTTTTATTATTGCATATATTGAACATATGTATTTATGTTTATCAATTGTGAGATATTTTGAGCCTGTGGTTGACACTATATTGGAGTTTGAGGCATTATAATAAGATTTTGAAACTCAGTGTTGTTGGGACCACCATGCCTGTGGTTGACACTATATTGGAGTTTGAGGCATGATAATAAGAATTTGGAACTCAGTGTCGTTGGGACCACCATGCCTGTGGTTGACACTATATTGGAGTTTGAGGCATGATTTTGGAACTCAGTGTCATTAGAACCATCATGTCTGTGGTTGACACTATATGAGAGTTTGAGACATAATGGTGTTGTTAGGACTACAGGGCCCGTAGTCGACGCCATATTTGATTATATGATGGTTTTTTGATAAACCATGGAATTTCTCTGGCTTTAAGGCATTTGAGAGAAATTTGAGGACTGATAGAGAAAATAACAGTTTGGTTGTTGTTGGATCACATTGGCATGCTATTTTCTTGCTACACTCCACACTAATGACTAGTCGACGTAGTCAAGTAACATTTGTGACCATGGAAGGTCTTATATCGATAAGCGTATAATCACGTCTGATTCAATGTTATTTGATTTTAGTTGGATGCAGTCAAATTCAGATATCGCACCTTGGATCATGTGTTTTCTTAAAATGTGGCCACATTATAAGAATTAGTTCTTAGCCCGAGAGTCGTTTTTAAATAACTTCTTTTTCTTTTCTCTTTTAAATTAAAATTTTAAAATTAATTTTGCCCAAGTGGGAGAATGTTAGAAATTTTTATAATAATTGTGGGTTTCAATCAATTGTAGTTTTTCTTGTTTTAATAAAAACGGGCTAAGTCATGATCCATATAGGGGTGCAGTATAAAGCCCAGTTAATTAGTGATCTGTTTGATTTGGGCTTGGATATCTGTAAACTGATTAGTGTGGGTAACAGTGTAGGCCTAACTTATAGGCCCATGATGGGAAGGGAACTAGGGTTAATAAGTTTGGCTAGGTTCCCTCTGCATTCACAGTGTGTATTGAAACTGTCACTCCACAACTTGTCCCATCGAAGGTTGTAATCAGGGAGGTGTGAATTGCAGAGGAAGATCCTGGTATTTCCATTGCAGGAGAATCAAAGTAAACAAGAGCAAGAAATTAAGAATTATGTCTTCAACAAGTAAGCCTGAATCTTTTGATGTTCTAATTTCATATAATCCTATTTTGGAAATTTGTTACATCACAAACACGTTTTGTAGCATATGTTGTTTTTATTTGTTGAATTCTTGATAAATTCATTCCATCATACTGCAAGTAACGTCTTCTTCATTCTGAGTGTTTAGTTTATGTTTTTTTTTTTATTATTATTATTATTATTAAAAGGTGCACGTATTTGTTAGTTTGCTTTTACATTTGCAAAAATTTCACAATAGCCTTCCTTAAATATTCATTCAATAGCTTGTAACAGGATGTAACTTGTGGGGTGTCCTTTTGAGTAATTTTTATTTTATTTTAACAAAAAATGTTGAATGGCATATTTAGGTGCAGGGGTAGAAAAAAAGTTGTATTCTCGCTTCTAGTATATTTGTTTCTTGGTGTCTTATTTAAAATCGAATAAAATACTTGGTAAAGAAAGTACATGGTAATTGTGTAACCGACAATATTGAATAATCAGGCTAGTAGAAATAGACTAATGGAAGAGTAATATTTGGTGAAAGCTGAGATTATTTTATTATTTTATGTGAAGATGAAAAAGAAGATCAAGTTTTTCCTTAACTTTTCTTAATAATCACTTAACGTGTTTGATTTCCCTTGATCATTTTTATTTTAATATTCCTTGTGTGACCGACAATGGATGCTTTATGGCTAAAAACGATTCCCACGAGCATTGAATTGCTGCACTTTAAATACTGTCATGATATTATCTTGATATTAAGTCCAAATTCAAATTATTAGTGGTTTTCCTTTATGTCAAAATTCAAATTGTTCTAGCAACAAATGTTTTGCTATTTTCTATAAAATATTAAATGTATAATAATCTGATTTAAATATTATGGTTATAGTAAAAAAAAACATAGCTGAGTTGTGACAGCTTGTTAATCTCGTTTTTTATCATTTTGACTGTGACAATTCGATGATTTTGAACCGTTTAGTAATAATAAATGAACAAACATAGAGGGGTTGTTTATTTAAAAAAAAAATTATTATCAATTTTGGATCAATTTAAAAAAAAAAAACAAATCGGTTCGCTATTAATTAAGATGAGAGTTTAACTCAGTCGTGACAACTTGTTAACCCAAAATATTTTACTTTGGGTCATTTTAGTTGTGACAACTTGATGACCAAAGCTTATTTAAAAATTTTATATTAAAGATAAATTTATTTATTTTTCATAATAAGGATTAGCTGAGTTGAGACAGCTTATTAATCCTATAATTGCCATCTCGGATTGTTTTAGTTGCGACAGCTTGATAATCCAAAACTTCAAAATGATTTATTTTCAAAATTAAATCAACACAAATATTTTCTTTTAGAACAACGTAGCTTTAAATTCTGCACTGGATGATACGTCGGAGCGGGAGTTTTCCTTTCAAGTAAAATAAAAGTTTAATAATTTAGTTTCTTTTTTCTTTTTCCTAATAGTCATATTTATCCTTTAAGGGGTAAAACAAATATTTTAAAAGCTATTAATAATTTGCATGATTAAATAAAGGTAACCTTTTTAAACGGTGTTAGGGTGCAGTGAGATTAAGTTTTACCCTTCCCTGCGCATAATCAGACTCCCGAACCTTAATTTAAAATTTTAAAATTGGTGGCGACTCTATTTTTTTATTTAAATTAAATTTCGAGTCGTTACACACATGGTATGAAATACATAGGCAATTCCATGCCAGTTCAAATGGCCAAAGAACATACAACCAAATCATCACTCAAGTTTTAGTTGTATAACAACTCTTTCACTAATTATACAACCTAGTCCACAGTGCTTGTTCGTTGGTCCTTTCACCAATGATACAACAATTCTATATGAATGTAGTCATACCATATTACTAACAGTCTAACACACCACTCAATCATCCACTTATATAACCATAACCTCTATAGAAGTATGGTGGAACAACCATAGGGAGTAAAACTCCTAAACCATGAATTTACCTCTTGTAGTTTCTTCCTTTATAAGCTTTCTTTGAGCTCAATAATTCGGATCTTCAATCCTTTACACGAAGCAACCTATTTCCAAGGTTACCAATCCAATTGTCAACATATTCCACATACAATCCATTAAGACAATACTTGACTATCCGCAAAATACAAGTTTAGAGTACTCACCCTATGCTTGACAATTCATCTTATCCGCACTAAGCCATTCTACCAATTCAGCCTATTCAAGTGTGAAAATGGCATCAACAACACATAACATACATTGAATATCAATTTAGTAGTTAAAACACTATCAAGAACATACTTTCTCAAACTTACCCTACACTTGATATTTCAAGCCTCAAGGCTTCAACCTCGAAATACATATTCAAAGGATGAAAATACATTCATCAACACAAATAACAAACAATCCATCAAGCCAATGCTTGTGTATGCTTAAAAACATGGTATTCAAATATTCACCCATTCCTTGGAATTCAAGAAACAAGTTCTAGATCCATAAGTTGATCCAATACTTTATTTTCCACTTGAATATTACAAGGTTTACCACTATATCATTAACCAAGCAACAAACATTATTAAAGTCCAATTCCAAGGCTTAAAACATAAATCACCCTTACTTTATTCTTAAATCATAATTACAATAATGGTTCAAATGGTTGTTTCATTACTTGCCATTTGTTATGTCTTAAAGACAGAGAAGTCTAGCCCAGTAGGCTAGTAGATTGCTTTTGTATTTAAATATCCTCTCCAAGGTATCTATGGATTAAATACCTTTGAGTCAAGCAAATCACTGTGCACAGAAAAACAATAAACGGCTTTGCCAAAGGGGTGTCTATGCACAGTGACAGCACAACAGTAAGAGAGAGAACGTACCGTACCTGTAGGTTTTACCTCTTATTTATAGAGTTTACTTATGGGTATTGGATTCTGGACCTTCAGTGCTTCTGATGACGGCCCAAGGCCATATATCATGTTGTCGTATTATGATTGATATCTTGATAGATATCTGATGCTCACCGGCAAGTATACCGATCGCACAAGTAATATAATGATAAGTAAAGTATCGTCTCCACAGGGATTGTGATCGTATATCAATTAATTGTTCCTTTCAAGAATGGAAGTGTTTAAATGGTTTTGACAAATATTGTCGATTGGTTTGAAATTGAGAACTGAAATAAAGACTTATTTTTGTAATTTTTATATTGAGAAAAAGAACAATACATAAGAATTGATGTTTTGAAAATATGAGAAAAGAACATTGTAGCTAGAGCGCACTCACCTTATGATCCCCACTTCTTACTTTGGATTGATTTACAATATTCATTTATAAAACTACTCCGATAAATTATTATCTAAAATAATTAGTTAAATCTCAATCCCTTGGCAATTTAACCCTTTAATCCCCAATTGGAATCCTAATCCCTTAGCAACCCCTAATGAAAATTAAGCGATGAACTCTATAATTTAGGCATCCGCAATTCAATACACATCTATTCCTAGCATGCATACGAACCGTTATCCTACCCTCTTTCAGGATGAAAACCCAATATCCCCTATCTAGAGTTCTAACCCTCAGACTATTATCAACTATTAGAGTGATCCATTCTAATAAAGAAAATATAAAATACGAACAGGGTAGAGATAAAGATAATTATATAAACGAGCAATTGTAAATCAATCCGAGTAACAAGGGTTCACATAGGGTTTGTGACCCTAACTACAATAAAAAGTACTAGCCAAGCATAATCATGGCTAAAAATCCAATATTCAATAGCATAAAATTAAAGAGAAAAGAGAAGAAGAACTTGATCTCAGGTATCCTCTCGGAGCTCTGTCGTCGTCTCTCTTCAGAAGAATAGGTCTAAATGCCTAATTCTGTCACAAGGATCCTATTTATAAGTCTCTTTTTCTTCTTCCAAAAATACTCATCCGAAAACACGGAGTAAATTTCTCGCAACCCGGCGCTAGATGGCGCCGGTACGGCGCCACTTCGCGCAGAGTTACTGTCCAATTGTGAAAAGTCGGACCTGCTTCTACGTGGACCGGCGCCAGTTGACGCCACCTCTTGTATTTTGGGCGCCACTTGGCATGGTTTGGCGCCACTTAGCATGGTTTGGCGCCACTTAGCATGGAATGGCGCTACTTGGCTTCACTTGGCGCTGGTTGGCTTCACTTGGCACTGGTTGGCATGGTGGCGCTAGTTTGCGCCATTCTGGCGCCAACTAGCGCCAATTCTCTGGACTTTGGCCTATGCAACATGATGTAACATGGAACTTTCCTGTGTGTGGAGTTGCGTCAACAGGCTTTTTATAATTTGTAATTTTCACTTCTCTTTTTCCTGTAAAAACACAACCAAAAGATGAATATTATTGACATAGAAAGAATCAATAAAAATAGCAAATATGTATTTAAATTGCTTTCTTATGACCCAATTCTTATCAATTTTAATACTGAAAAACCACACTTGCCAGAGGCACATCAATATCCTTCCATAATTGTATCTGATTAATATTTTGGATTGTCTCTTGTTAGGCTTTTCAATAGATGAGCCTCATATATGAGTCCATAACACCATCAATTAAATATCATTCCTTGTCATATATTTCGTGTCAATTCAAGCCCATTTCAAGTGTTAAAATACCAAAATTCAACACTTTAATCAATCTTCAAAATTTCGAAAATGATGCTTAGGTTGGACCATTTCTTATCACATTTACCATGTCAAATCAAGTCCAAATCAAGTCAAGACCAATTAACCATATTTACCAAGAATGCTCACATTTTCTAATTAATCATGTATACAAAATCAAAGTAAGGATTTCTTACCTTACAACCACTTGGAATGACCCTAGAGGGGCTTCCAAGCATCAACCAAGATCAAAAAAACTTCCAAGGTTCACATTCAAGAAATGGCCGAATTGATGCACTAGTGAATTCACCAACAATCCAAGCTTTCCAATGTCTACAAACTAGTCCACTTAACACTACAATATACAATGAATAGCAACCACCATCAAAATCATAACAAAAAGCCATGATCATCTATACCAAAACTCCACCATAACCTAAAATATTGATCTTCAAGAATCAACGGTTTAAATTTGGTTATCTTACCATAGATGTCTTCAAAATCATCCAAGGATCATGTTTCCATGATTAAAGGCTTCAAAAGCTCATCCTTGCTCCATGGATACATGGCTGGTCGAACATGAAAGAGGAGGATATCTATCAAACTAGAGCTTTTCTAGGTGAACAAAGTGGTGAGTTTTGCTCCTTAGGCCAAAATCTACAACTCTTGTGAAATAACCTAAGTCTTTTGGTGAAGAAAAAAAGTTGTGTGAGCTTGGTTTTGTCTTCAATAGTGGTCTTCTCGGTTTGGTCTGTTCTTGCCCGAGGAAGAAGATGAAAAATGAGTCTTCTAAGTGTTTTGTCTTATAAGATGAAGATTTGACTAAGTCAACCACTTAATACTTTCATAACTTGCAAAATGGTCCTCCAAAGTTCACTTAATTCTATCTTAATTTATAAAAAGATCCAACTTTTACTATTTGTATTTTGAACCCACCAAGTTCCATAAATTTTCATCTTATGACATTATTTTAAGTTTAGAGCAACTTTTGTCTATTTGCAAGTTGGTCCCTAAACTTTCCCATAATTGTACTTTGGTCCCTCAACTTTTCATATTTGCATTTTGGTCCCTAAATGACTTGAATGGTAAGAATTGAATTCTTAGTCACATTAATCTCTTCAAATCCTTATGTAATTCCCAATTATACAATTTAAAGATGTGGGTTATTATACTTGAGGCACAAATTTGCTTGTGTAGTCAATAGTATATTGTTCGACCAACCTTCCTTAAGGTTTTAAAGACAAGTTTTTTCAAATCCTAAGGCCCATATTCGATTATGGAATCTCTTCTCAATGTACTAAAAAATGTTATTCGAATATATGAAATCCTAACTTTCAAATTTAAATTAGACCCATTTAAACACAAGATATGTGTATGTGATCTATTTGACACATTCAGCCATTGATACAAATAAGCTTGGAGTATTTAAACTCCTTTAATGGACCCAACTTATTTATGACAACACATAGTACTATAAATGTGTTATGACATCAGAGCTAAATGGAAGATCAAGTGATATAACTTTCTCATTTGGTTGCTTTGCTAATCCATCATTTCATCTCATTATCCACCTTTTGGAAAAGAGCAAGGATACCATATAAACTCTTTAGTGACCAAAGAAAGTTTTTCTAGAACTAGGAGTCTTCTTGCATAAACTCTAAAGGAAGATCCATGAACACCTTCATGATCCTTTTACCGTGCACACATTCCTAAGTCTTATGGAAGTTATATGAATCTCGCTGATCTCTTATAGTCAACTAATCTCTTTATAGAAATGATGAATCCTTTCGGCTTGTCCACCGACCCTTATGCCCTCAAGTTATACCCAAAAGTACATTATTCTCTCCATATTTCAAGCTGATTGTACAGCAAAGTACGATCCATAGAAAAAGTATTTAAAGTCGAGTCTCTCAGTAGGTCAGCTCAATACAGTTTGTTCCACCAACAAATCCACCTGCAATATTGGCTAAGGCATCTCCATGCTTGTATTTATGAGATTCGTACCTTACATCTCTATGTAAGTAGCCTGACACCATATTAGTGTAGTTGAGTTGACCAATGCCCTTTCTTGGTGATTCTAAACTAGGAAAAAATTTAGCGAATAATCAAATAATATATTCGAGTCTTCATAATCATGATCTCATCATAGATGCTCAAAGGTACACTTTGATTATCCCACGAGTCATTATCCATTCAAAATTATTAACAAAGCGATACAATAATATATAAGAAATAAAGTAATACTCTAATACTATTTGTAAAAATGTCAAAATACATAATATCATCTAATTTTTCATATTGTCTCTTGCACACTTATATTAACAATCTTAATATACAATTAGATACCATTTTTTATAATTTCACTAGTATATAAATGGCTAGGAATTGGTGGTGTTACAATGCTAATCCCCATCGAGTTGATATATGTACCTTTGAGTACACTTTATTGCTCGAATGATGGACACACTTATTGTGTTCAACAACATAAACGCATCTGAATGAGAAGAGCGCAAAAGAAATGAGTCTACAAAGAAAAGAACAAAGTGGAAAAGAAAAGTAAGAATGTTAGATATTTTTATAACCACGATGCGTATACGTAATATTTTGAAATGATATATTTTATATGAATCTAAGTAACAAATTTAAAAATACAAAGTGTCAAGGGATAAATCATGTAACCACAAAGAGAGAAAATGAAGTTATCTCTATTTTATTTTATTTTGTATTGTGCATAAAATTTTGTATGATGGTTTAGTGAAATATAAAAACAAAAATTTTGTACGGTTTCTAAACATCTTTTTGTCTAATACTTCCGTTATTTTACAAATCAAATAATAAATTTATGATAAAAGTGTGTGTTATTTTAAAGGACGTAACGTTGTGTCATTTTAAGAGAGAGAAAGACATGGATAAATAAGGAGAGAGAGTTGACAAAAAAAAAATTGTAGGTCCTATCTCATTATGAGGGTGAAATGATATAAATTCTGTCATTTTTAAAGATAAACATTTTTCCCTAAATTTATTTATTTATTATTCTACTTTTTGGGACGATACCTTTTATTTTTTAGCAAATTAATCGGTTGGTTAACATTACATAAATCAGGGAAGTTATACTTACAACTTTTTTTTTTTACAATCTCTTACAACTATATCTTAACACCGTTGATTTCCGTCAATCAACGGTTATCATTTATTGTGAATTAATAATTAATTCATGAGTTAAATGTGCAAAAATAATAATCTTTAATTGCTAAAAATTAACGATGTTAAGATATGATTGTGAGAGATTGTAAAAAAAATAAAAAAAATTGTAAGTACAACATGTGAATAAATATGTTCAACTGGTTTAAAGTTGAATTTAATTTTGCACTCTCACATATATGAATACTTTAAAAGGAGGAAAAAATTATTCATATCTCTGTATAAAAAATAAAAAATAATTCATATCCCAAGTCAAGTTTGCAAAGCATGGCTTCTCCTTGAACCTCCATTGATAACATCAAAGGTGTGTTCGTTGTTTGATTAAGAATGGAGGAAGGCGTAAGGAGATGGGTGGTAGACATATCGAAGTGGGACCCTCACCCTCTTGACTTCTCCTTCGCTCTCTCCCTCCTTCCTTCCCATGAACACTCCTCTGTCACCAGGTTACCCTCCATCTCCTCTTTCTTCTCTCTCTCTCTCTCTCTCTCTCTCTCTCTCTCTCTCTCTCTCTCTCTCTAAAATAATACTAGAATTGCAAATCACTTCTTGGTTCATCTTTGCTTCTTTCTATCCAATTTTTTGTGTATTCATCACTTGACTTCATGTGCGCATGTTCCATACTATTGGTTTGGGACTCCAATTGATTGTACCACTCTTTTTTTTTTTTTTAATATTAGCTTAAATATCAATGTATTACATCATGAGAATATCTTTTATCGTTAAATTTGGGGCATGAATACTTTATATTAAGGTAGTGTTTTCTATCAGCGTTAGTGGTTGTTAAGTCTTATACTTTGAAGGGTCAGTTTGGTGTCCCCTTATTTTTTCACCCCTATTGTTTAGGGATACCTAGGTGACTCGGTTATGGTTTATGATGATTAGGTTTAAGCACTGATTAAGTGAAGTGAAGTGATTTTGAGATAGGTTGTTGAGAAGATATACAAATGGATTTTGATAGATACCATGATGACTGTAAGATGTGATTGTGCAATGGTAGGTTTATTAACATGGAAGACAGGAAACGGGCACTTGTCAGCAGAATCCTTCAGTATGCTCTTGTATATGATGTGATGGAAATCCCATTTGGCGAAATCATCATAAAACGAACATTGGAAGGGAAACCATATTTGGTATGATATTTTAAATCTTTCATATCATGTGATGAACAATATCAAACTCAATTATTTTTGTTTCCTTAATCACGTGTTCATGTTAGTTTGTTGTTGTTGTTGTGTGTGTGTGTATGAGAGAGACAGAGAGAGATGTGCATTCAACAGATTGCTGCCAAATTTTACAGAATTAAGACTGCAAAGACTCAAACCTGGGAATGAGGAATAAATTGAACCTTGTATTTATCAAAGAAGGATAAAAATGTTCAATTACACTTTGTCATCATGATTTATTGGCACAGTTGTACTTTCCCTCTTGATTTACAATACTAATCAAATTCCCACCTAATTTGATATGCGTTTTTGCTACATCCCACCTGTAGCCAGATTTTGGGTTATCATTCACAAGCTGATAAGCACATGTAGAGCATCTGACCTTTTGGCAAGAAAATGAATCAGAAGCCTTCTGAGATATGCCAAAATTGAGGAGCTTGTATCTCCTTGGATGTGCTCTCTATATTATTGGAAGGGGTTTGGTCTTTTTGAGTCATTTTCCTTCCTGAAACTTACTTATTCTTCCTGTACATCCTAAATTGAGTCAACCCCTAATTCTGTTGACTGGTGTGGGACATTGCATAAAGTCTTATTCATGTGGCATTGTGCTTAATTAAGTAAATCAAGGGTGAAATACATTTGGATCATGGTGGAAAGAGCGGTTGCCTGATCCGTAAATGCAGTCAAGTAAGAAAGTTCCTTTTATCTGTCATTGTCAGACTTGCCTGGTCCATTATGGTAGTTATGACAGTGTGATTAGGTAAAAAAAACCCTGTCTTCTCTATTCCTTAAAACTTGTGAATTTAAGCTTTTGGAATAATTTGTTATTTAATGTGTTATTTTTGGCAATTTTTTATGTGTTAATGAAGAAAAGTAGAAGTGTTTTGTCTGAATAACACTTTCTTGATTCATTGAGAGACCCAATGGGTCCTTTTTATATTGAGTACATCCAACTACCTCAACTACTTTAATAAATATACAACCACCAACTACATCAATAAATATACAACTACCAACTAAATATACAACTACCAACTACATCAATAAATACTATCTAGAATATTCTACATATTCTACACTCCCCCTCAAGTTGGGAGATATATATTGATCATTCCCAACTTGCTGATCAAATTCTCAAAGGTCGGCTTAAGTAATCCTTTGGTGAGGATATCCGCCTTCTGTTCCTTGGTAGGTATATATGTCAAGCATACACTACCGTCTTCTAATTTCTCTTTGATAAAGTGACGATCAACTTCCACATGTTTTGTTCTGTCATGATGAACAGGATTTTGAGCAATGCTGACAGAAGCCTTATTATCACAATATAATCTGATAGGTAGGGAATAAGAGATCTTCAACTCCTCCAGAAGCCTTCGTAACCAAATTCCTTCACAAATACCATGGGCTAGAGCCCGAAATTCCGCTTCTGCACTGCTTCTTGCAACAACAGTTTGTTTCTTACTTCTCCAGGTCACAAGGTTTCCCCGACATAAGTACAATATCCTGAAGTAGATCTTCGGTCCATTGCAGAGCCAGCACAGTCTGCATCTGTATAGATTTCAATCATCCTTTTGTGCCCCTTTTTCAAAAAAATTCCTCGACCAGGGGTATTTTTGAGGTATTTGAGAATTCTATAAACAGCACTAAGGTGTTTTTCCTTAGGAGAATGCATGAATTGGCTAACCATGCTAACAGCAAAAGCAATATCAGGATGAGTGTGAGACAAATAGATTAATTTCCCCACTAGTCTCTGGTACTGCTCCCTATTAACATCTTCCCCGTCCTCAACTCCCATCTTGATATTAGCTTCAATTGGAGTCTCTGTCGGCTTGCACCCAAGCATACCTGTTTCTTGCAACAGGTCTAGAATGTATTTTTTCTGAGTTAAAGAAATTCCTTCCTTACTCCGAGCAATTTCCATGCCAAGGAAATATTTGAGAGATCCAAGATCTTTTAGTTCAAACTGGTCAGCTAAACATTTTTTTAAAGAGGTTATCTCCTCGCTATCATTACCAGTGACAATTATGTCATCAACATAAACGATCAGAATAGCAATTCTTCCTTTGTCAGAGTGTTTAAAAAATAAAGTGTGATCAGTCTGAGCTTGGGTGAACCCTCTTCCCTTAACAGCTTGAGTAAATTTTTCAAACCATTCTCTGGGAGATTGTTTAAGTCCATAGAGAGACTTCTGCAACTTGCACACAAAACCATCCCTTTTTTTCAAAACCAGGAGGTGGATCCATGTAAACTTCCTCATGGAGATCACCATTCAAGAAAGCATTCTTAACATCTAACTGTTGCAATGGCCAATCAAGGTTAGCGGCAAGAGATAGCAGAACGCGGATAGTGTTAAGTTTGGCAACAGGAGCAAATGTCTCCTGATAATCTATCCCATGAGTCTGAGTAAATCCCTTAGCAACTAATTTGGCCTTATACCTATTGATGCTATTGTCTGCATTGAATTTTATTGTGAACACCCACTTGCAACCAACAGTTTTCTTTCCTTTAGGTAATGTCACAAACTCCCATGTTCCATTTTTTGTAAGTGCATCCATTTCTTCTAATACTGCATTCCTCCATTTTGGGTCATCAAGTGTTTCTTGGATATTTTTGGGTATCCTCGTACTATCTAACATAGTGTTGAAAGCACGAAAACCTGGAGACAACTTTTCATATAAGATATAATGGGAAATAGGATGAGCAGTGCAAGATCTAGTACCTTTCCGAAGAGCAATAGGCATATCAATATTGGTTGTACTAGTACATTCAAGTGGGTTGCTGGAACAAGGACTCGAGTCAGGGTCCTGGCAATCTAGAGTATCTTCATGTGTTTTGCGCCTGCTGTAAAATTTTCCCCATTTACCGGGAGGATCACAAGGAGGATCATTAGATTCAGGTATAGTTGCTCCTCCTGTTTCCTTCCCAATAACTCCACCTGTTTCCAAAGGCCAAGGTAAGACAACAGCATTATTTGGTTTCCCAGGCTTATCTTCATCCATACCAATACCAATAGACTCCCCCTGAAGAGAAGTCGGGGAAAAAAAGGATTGTGTCTCATAAAAGGTATCCATGGAAACAAAAACCTTACGGAAAGAAGGTGAGTAACACTTATAACCTTTTTGATTAGGGGAATATCCTATGAAGACACATCTGATGGATTTAGGGTCAAGTTTGGACCTTTGATGTGGAGGAATATGCACAAAAACCACACAGCCAAATATTTTCGGAGGAAGAGAAGAAAGAGCACTGAAAGAGGGAAAAGATTTAGTAAGACAGGATAAAGGAGAATGAAAATTAGTACTCGAGAAGGCATCCGATTAATGAGATAACAGGCTGTCAAGACGGCTTCCCCCCACAGATATTTAGGGACATGCATCGTGAATAAAAGAGCTCGAGCAACATCAATTAGATGTCTATTTTTCCTTTTAGCCACCCCATTTTGTTGAGGGGTGTTAGGACAAGAACTTTGATGAATAATTCCATGCTGGTTTAGGTAATCTCCAAGAACTGAATTAAAATATTCAGTACCATTGTCTGTTCGCAGAATTTTGATAGAAGTCTGAAATTGAGTTTGAATCATAGCATGAAAGTTTTTAAAAGTGGATGCTGCCTCAGACTTATCTTTTAAGAGATATACCCAACATACCCTAGAATGATCATCAATGAAAGTAATAAACCAACGAGCACCCGAGACATTTTTTTCACGAGCAGGTCCCCAAATATCACTATGAATCAATGTAAAGGGAGAAGATTCATGATATTTCTTAGGAGAATAAGTGACACGAGTGTGCTTTGCAAGCTGACAAATATCACAGAAGGGAACTTGGCTTTTTATTGATAAATAAGTTCGGCAATAACTTCTGGAGATAAACAAAATTTGGGTGTCCCAACCTACGATGCCAAAACAAAACATCATTACAGTCATCTGATAAACATAGAGAGTGGTTCGAAAAAATCCTCTTTTCACAATGAACATCTGTAAAATAGTAGAGCCCTTCTTCCTCTCTAGCACTGCCAATCATCATCCCCGGGTCCTGTTCTTGAAAGATACAAGCATTTGCAGAGAACTTAGCAACACAATGCAACTCAGCAGTAAGTTTGCTAATAGAGATGAGATTACAAGTAAGAGAGGGAACATGAAGTACTGAGTTCAAAATAATATGCTCAGAAAGTTTAATGGACCCCTTTCCCGCAATAGTGGAGAAATTCCCATCAGCTGTTCTTATTCGTGACGGGTGATAGTAAGGGGTATAGGAGAAAAATAAGGTGGCATTACCTGTCATGTGATCAGAGGCCCCTGAATCAAGGATCCAACGATTACTACGTTCAACATGGAATGCCATACCTTTTTGAGCAACATGACTAGTTGCCTCAGCAGGTTGAGACATCAATTTCTGAAAAGACGAATTTTCAAAATTTCCAGCGTCCATGGTTTTCTAACATCAGGTACCCAGTAAAAAGTTCCTCCAAATACGATTTTGACCCTCAAAACAGGAAGAGGGTTGCTCGCTAAAATCAATGAATGAGAGCAATCTTGGCTACAGTGAAACAGTAATTGCTACAGTAATGAACAGTACTGCTACGGGTCTTCTGTGGGCTGGCTCAGAATCTTGTTCTGACCCTAATGGTGGCCTTGGTTTCGTGGTTGGAGGTGTCTAGGTAAGGATTCTGACTTGGGCAGTGGCTAAAATGAAAAAAAAAGAATAAGAAAATGACTTAAAAATTAATCAGAACGGGGAAGAGACTGGAATATAACCAGCTCTTGATACCATGAAGAAAAGTAGAAGTGTTTTGTCTGAATAATACTTTCTTGATTCATTGAGAGACCCAATGGGTCCTTTTTATATTGAGTACATCCAACTACCTCAACTACTTTAATAAATATACAACCACCAACTACATCAATAAATATACATCTATCAACTAAATATACCACTACCAACTACATCAATAAATACTATCTAGAATATTCTACATATTGTACAGTTAATTTATCATTTAAGTGCAATTTCTTTTTGTTGAACTTAAAAGAGATGTTTAATTTATGTCTCTAATTAGAGCCGAGTTGAATTAAGGGAAACATAATGCAGAATATTTTAAATGGTGTACGATACATGTGTGTGTGTATCTTATATCATTAAAATTTTCTGAATTATGCTTGCCTTTATTCAACTTAGCTCATTTAGATGCAAAAATTGAACATCACATCTATGTGAGAAGTGATAGAGTGACTGTCATAAGATATATATAAATATCTTAAGATCTAGGTTTTTATCTATTTAAATTTGTTTGACAAGCTAGAAAGGTGATAAAGAGCATAGAAATTGCCCAGTTTCTCATATGACAAGCTAGAAATGTGATAAAGAGCTGAGAAATTGTCAAATTTCTCATATAACGTATATATGACAAGCTAGACATGTGATCCAGGTTTGTTCTGCTTTATTACGGCATAAGAAATTTGACAATTTCTTCATTATTTATCACATGTCTAGCTTGTCAATTAAATTTATAGGGATAGAAAATTTGATCTTAAGCTATTTGTATAAATCTTATTACAGTCATACTATCACTACTCAATTAGCATTCTTGTTTTCCTTGATTACAGCCTTATTTTTTTTTATCTCCTCTTTCCTTTCAGGTTTATGATAATTTTGGTCTTAGATTCCCAAATTTCAATTTCAATGTATCCCATCATGGTGACTATGTGGCCATAGCATCTGAACCAGTATGCCTTGTGGGGTTAGACATTGTCTGCTATGCTATACCGCAGGGAGAAACAATTACAGAATTCATTCAATTCTTTTCATCATACTTTTCAAGTTTGGAATGGGATAACATAGTTAATGCTGGCACTTCAGATGATGTATTAATTGAATTTTACAGGTAAGGTTATGCTTTATATGTTCATTTTTGTCAATGAAAAAGGTTTAATTAGAAATAGTGCCTGCAATTCAGATTTAATTCCTCGCAACGCTGCTGTTCCAGCATGCAGAGAGTGGGCAGCTTTGCTTCGTTCTTGAGATTTTCCTTTTTCTAAATTTTTTTTTTTTCCTTTGGAATATATCTTATCCTCTCCGTAGTGGTATCTACCTTATATTCTCTCTAATAAAGCTTCTTTTTTATCAGAAAAACGGAATAATTCCTCTAGATTCTGCGTTTTTCCAAATTTAACTGACTTGACTGTAGACATGCTTGTGGAAACCCATAAAAATCCTTGTATTTCCATTTGTTTGAAGAACCCAAAAGGCAATATATGAATAATAAATTGCTTGCTTAGCATTTTTCCAGAATATCAGTACACTCTTTGCCTGAAGGCAGCTCAAGAAATGACATCAGTTCAAGCCTTTACTGTGCTTGCCTAGCTTCAGTTAGCATGCTCATCAGCTCATGTCCTTAGCGGAAAAGCCCAATAATTTTTAGCCATTATTCTGTACTCGTGTCCAATTTAATTATTATCAGTTTATCATTTATTTGACAAAATATCACGTAGGGGATGAACCCCAAGATTTTATTGCTATATAATGTAGAGTTCAAGATGTTCTCTGAAATTGTTTAATATATCAGTGAGATAGAGTCAGATCTGATACTGTATTCTTGTCTGCCAAACTAGAATTCTTTATAGATGTAAAATTATTCTTTAAACTGAAGACATACCATACTGAAAGTCAAATGTACACTTGCTTTGCAGGTATTGGAGCCTAAAAGAAGCATATGTTAAAGCCATAGGCAGTGGACTGACTGAAGGGTTAAATAAAGTGGAGTTTTCTCACATGAGCTGGACTAATATATCAGCTACAGTAGATGGAAAGGTTATGACAGACTGGAGATTTTGGCTGTTTGAGCTTGGAGAGAGACATTGTGTGAGTCCTTATCTACTTTTAATAAAAGTGACTGGTTCACTTTGACAAAATATGACTCTAGATTTCCCTGACTGTACTTTATTTGGCTTATGACTAACATAAAAAATAAAAATAAAAAAATAAAAAATAAAAACACTAAGTGGGAGTGGGAGTGGGAGGGGGAGGCGGAGGGGATGAAGGATATTGACCAAATAATAAGTGAATTGTAATGCACTTTCCGATTGCATGAGATTCCATATTTTTTTTCTGCAAAATCAGGTGATTGTTTTTAATCCATTTGGTTAAAATTTGATATTATATATTCTATAAGGCTTGATATTGATTTCCTTTCCCTTAGAGTGAACTTAAGGGGAACTACTATTATACTGTTAGGCTGTAAACCAAAAAAATTGACATGGGAAGCGACAACTACTAGGATTTTGTTTCTACTGAAGGATGAGTCATATAGTTCTAACTTCTACGTAAGGAATAGTTTAGATTTTTGTTGCAAAGACAAGACCCCCATTTTGCTAGAATTGAGGATTCTCTCCAAATCGGTATAACTGCTGATTAAATTCGGCCCACCATGTGAATGAAAGCTTTAATATGGATTCAAAAAGCTGATATTGAATGCATTCTACAAGGTATGTGAACAATTTACAAATTAACGGAACATAAACAGCTAATTGTATTGATATGACTGTAAAATACAATTGGGAACTCATAATAGTGGATACGACATCTACACAATTATACTCAGGTTACTCAAGAGCTTTCGAGATATCTGATTCTTTCCTCCAACATCTATCAAGCAAGCTACCCATACAATAAGTCCTCTGGTACTCTCTCATTGTAATTGTATTTTCCTCCAACTCTTGTCACACCTTCTGAGTTGGTTATGAGTTTCACTCTCTGGGTGTGAGCTTATGGTACACCTTTAGTGATGGTTAGCTTTGTGGCACATTTTCATGCAAATTTTTAACACATGCATACCCAGCAGAGAAAATCTTACTTCAAGATGCACTTGTTATATGTACTTGAGATACTTGAGATTGGATAATTGTGTGTCTAATACGAGCACACATATTGTTAACAAAAACTAATCTATCATATACAAGATGTGATTCTAATATATACACTGTACTACTTTAACATACTATTCTAAAACTCTCCCTCAAGCTGGTGGGTATATATTGTGAGCACTCAGCTTGTTACACATGTATTCAACTCGGGGACCTTGAAGAGCTTCAGTGAAGACATCCGCGAGTTGATCCTTGGAGTTGACAATTGCCGTTTTGATTTCTCCTGACTGAATCTTTTCTCGAATAAAGTGACAATCGATTTCTATGTGCTTGGTTCTCTCATGAAATACAGGATTAGATGATATATGTAGCGCAGCTTGATTGTCATAGGTTGTTTCTGTTCACAAAGATAGAGCTCAATCAACTGCTTTAATAGATTAGTTCATAGGTGACAACTTCCATTGCACGATACTCAGCCTTTGCACTGGATCGGGCGACAATAGTTTGTTTCTTACTCTTCCAAGAAATCAGGTTTCCTTCAAAGACGACACATTAACCCGAAGTAGAGCATCTGTCCAAGTATGATCCTGCCCAATCGGCATTTGAATAACCACAAATTTCTATATGTCCCTGATCTGAATATAATAAGTCTTTCCTTGGTGCTCTTTTGATGTACCGGAGGATCCCCACAACAGCATCCCAATGAGAATCACAAGGGGAGTCATTGTTAAGCATAGAGGAAGGCATGCGGTTGATGAGAAAACAAGAGGCGAGTATTGCATCTGCCCAGAAGCGAAGAGAAACATACATGTGAATAAGAAGAGTCCAGACAATTTCAATGAGATGTCTGCTTTCCGTTTGGCCACCCCATTTTGTTGTGGAGTGTGAGAACAAGTAGTCTGGTGTAAAGTACCTTGTATGGCCAAGAAATTAGAAAAGTCAAAAGAAACATATTCCTTAGCATTATCACTACGTAAAATACGAATAAAGGCACCAAATTGAGTATGAACCTCAGCAGAAAACTTTCTATAAATGGAGAATAACTCGGAACGATTTTTCATTAAATAAATCCAGGTACAACGGGAATAATCATCAATAAACGCAACAAAATACCGAAAACCTAAAAGAAACAAAGTACGACTTCGACCCCATATATCTGAATGAATAAGAGACAAAGGAGTATCAGCTCGTTTATTGACTCAACTGGAAAAGGAGGAGCATGTGTGCTTCCCTTGCTGACACGACAGACAATCTAAAGACAGAAGACCGGATAAAAGTGGAACCATCTTCTACAATTTTGAAAGACTTGGATCACCAAGGCAATTGTGGATAAGTTGTGGAGATTATGTGAGAGAGCATGCCACTGATGGACGAGGCACAACCAGATAGTAAAGACGACGCGACTCACGACCCACTTCAATCGTCGTCCTTGTACCCGGATTCTGTACAGAAACAAAATGGTTAGAGAAAGTAATGATGCAAGTAAGGGAGTGGACCAATTTACTAACATAAATTAAGTTATAAGAGATGCCAGGAATATAATAGACAGATGTCAAGGTCAAAGAAGAGGTCGGACGGGCTTGTCCAATCCCACAAACAGGGGCTTTAGTGCCATCAACATGGGTAAAGGAAGGTAAATGATCAGAATAAGTAAGAGATATAAAGAGTTCCTGAGTCAAATATCCAAGGACCAAATGATGTAGAATGAGAAACACAAGCAACAGGATTACCAGTATTTGGAGCGAAAGGCTGAGACTGAGTAGAAGCCTTCCTGAGTAGAGTCTGGAGTGCTGCATAGTCTGCAGGTGTGAGAGAGACTGAACCAGATAAAGCAGTATCTGACTGAGCTATAGTCGCAGCATGAGAGGGTCGCAAGTGAGGATACTTCATGTAACAACGCTCCTCAAAATGACCAAGTTGCTGACAATAATTACAACGAGATCTCTGACCACGTCCGCCCTGGCCCCGGCCACGACCGAGACCGAGACCATGTCCATTGTTCCTGCGAGGGTCAGTACGGGAAACAAGAGCAATGGAATCAACAACAAAAGATGAATCAGGAGCAGGCACTGGCTTCTTGTTGAGATTCAAAAGGCACCGGTAAGTTAGTGATAAAGTAGGATCCCCACTAGTCAAGATATTGTCACGGATTCCATCATACTCCTCGGGAAGACCAAAAAGAGTGGCAACCATAAAGAGACGCTCCACTTGTTTCCTATATGCAGAGGCATCAATGGGGTAAGGCAACATATCCAAGTACGCTTGCATCAAAGATCGACTTTTGCCAACATATGTCTCCATCTGAATGTCAGATGACTTGCGCAGATCCATGAATTGAGATATGATAGAATAGAGCTGCTGAATATCATTAGTGTAGAGTTGTTTGGCTTCCTCCCACACTTCATAGCATGTCTGAAAAGAATAGAAAATGTCCAAAATGATTGGATCAATAGACTGCCAAAGGATACTCAGAAGCTGGTTGTCAATTCTTTCCCAATCAGATCTCTCTTCCTTAGGAACAACAGTAGGTTGAACAGTGAGATGTCGCCCATGCCCTTGTTCAAAGAACCAGACATGAACAGAGGTGGCCCAATTCTTGTAGTTAACAGAACCCTTCAGTTTGGAGGAGGTAATGGACCCAACATTAGTGAAGATGATACCCAAGGAATTTTTGGCAGGAGGAGGAGAAGAAGTAACCTCCGAGTGAACAAGAGATGATGCTGCCATTAAATTATGAATGTAAAAAAAACTTGCAAAACTAAGTAAATAGAAGCAAACCAATAGCCAAACAAGAAGAAATGCACGCCAAACAAGAGACCCACGAAGAACCAAGAGCAGATCTGGAAAGAGGGGACAAAACCGAGCAATTCCGTCCTAAAACGACCCAAAAAAGACGCCAGAATAGTGTTTTCGACAATGAACAATGACTTGGTAGATGGAGTTTTTCCGGAAGGATGCACGACAAGGAAGGAGAGAACACCTAAGCAGTGGGCTTAGGGTTTTGGCACACTTAAGCAGTGGGCTTAGGGTTTTAGCGGAAGCGATAGTTCCCAGAACAAAGAGCTCTAGTACCAACTTGAGATACTTGAGATTGGATAATTGTGTCTAATACGAGTACACAGGGAATATATTTATATTAACAAGTACAGAAACTAATCTATCATATACAAGATGTGGGACTATTCGGTTGGGTAACTCCAAAAAAGATGTGGGACTATTCTATTATATACTAACATATTATTCCAACATATGTAATAGTAATCTGTCCTAAGGTTACAGCAGTAACTTCTACGTCTATCTCTATCTCTCTTTTGTGAATTTTATGCATTTACTTTTAACTTTTGTAGCTTTAAATTCAATATTTTCATGTTTTTCAGGTATCAATTGCGAGAGGTCACCCACGATCAGCTGCTATGAGCTACAAAACAACATTGAAGAAAGTGAATTTTACTGAAGATGAATATAATCTAGGTCTTCATCTTCCAAGTTTAGACTTTGTTAAACTAGGTGTAGAACAACTTGTTTCGATTTTACGGGAAGCATCTGATTGTAAGCATAGAAATCGGACGTTAATGTGAATCTAAGAAAAAAGATTTATATATATCAACGGAAACATTGTTATGTTTACATATAAAATTCAATACATCAGATAAAGAGGACTCAACTTATCTCCACTTCCTCATTCCAATTAAGTTCGTTTAACGTAGGTATTGTTGAGATAGTATAAAATCTGATTTATTATTCTAGAGATTGTTGGGCTCATCTACGTTTGCTTTGTCATTGGAATAGTGTCTATATAAGTGACGTAAAGCAATGCAATCTAATTATTTCAAAAAAAACCTTTATCCTTTCTTTAGAGCCTAAAACTATAACTTTTATCAGCTGAGATAAAAAAAATATAGGAAGTCATGTCCTCCCACCACCAACCCACATGTCAATTTTGTACATCCTCTCACTGCGAATCTCAATTATCATGAAATCTTGATTGCTCTCTATTTCCTCTCATTATGAAGCTTAATTATATAAAGTGATTTGAAAAATTCCTCTAATTTATATAAATTTTGTTCATTCCATTTGTATGTCTACACATTTTGCATTGTCAAAAATATTATATTATTTAATTATATATAATTGTATTATTAAAGAAGTGGGATTGACATGAAAATAAAGTTATACATTGCACGATTCAACATTTTACAAGTAGGGTTCATCGATTTTAATTTATAATTACCACTCAAGTACCATACTCCTCAAATAATCAATATTATAACTAATTTTGCTTGAGTTTAATTTAACTCATTCTTCTTAAAACTATTATATTATCTAATTATGTATTATTATATTTTTAAAGAATTTAATTTTGATTCACGTAAGTATATAAAAATAATTTACATTATAATCTAATTGCATATATATTCTCATCTTTTAGCATTTCTACTAGTACTATAATTATTAACTTATTCACAAGAAAATAGTTTTTATCTTTATTTTTTTCAAAAAATTTATTATAATGCTAATGATTGGTCATTATTGATTACGGGCTTTTATTGTTATGTATCATTTATTTGCTTATTTTTTGGTGATTGTCATTGTATAATTAAATAAAAAATTCCATATAGTTTCTCTAATTAAATAATGTCAATGTGTTAAAAAATGAAAAATTATAATGACTTTTGGATTATGATACTATTAAGATTATGTGTATTTTTCATCCAAAACTATATGAAAATATTTTTTTTATTTTAACATTGAAATAATTTTTCTACTTTAAAATATTTTCAAATCTCAACGCAAAATAACTTTGGTTTTAAATTTTTTTTTAAAAAAAGTAATGCACAAAAATTTGTATATTTAGATATCCATTCAAATAACAACTATGGTTGTATGAATATTATTCGGATTAAATTTAATTCAATAGTAAAATTAAAATCATCAACAATGATCAATATAACAACTAATTTTAAAATGAAGATATATAAATTATTAGCCAAAATATAATTAAAATAGTTTAAACATTGTGAGCATATAATATATTATTTTATTATATTTATTTATATAAATATTAATAATTGTTATTACTTAAATTGGATAAATTTGATATCATCAATACTTGTCCCTTATATTTTTTATTCTTTTAAAATAAAATTCATAAAGACTTCAGAAATTATCATTGTAGTTAACAGAGAGATGAAAGTTAAAACTGTTTAAATCATTTTCAAAATTTAATTTAATTAAAATAGAAAATAATATAATATATGAAACTTTTTAATTATATTAAACTGAGATATGTTAAAAAAATTCTGTCTGATTGTTGGACAAGAAAAAGAAAAGAAAAACGAAGAAATCTTATCAATCGATTTTACTTTAAATCCTTTTTAATTATAAATCATTTATTATATAGCCGTTAAATGCAAACATCAAAGATTAATAATAAATTAGACATATTTTTAATAGAAAGCTAACATTGAAATTCAAACATATAACCTCGAATAAACTACACCACTCCCTCACCACTATATGGCTTAATAAATCATGCATCTGTTTAGCCCAATACGTATCACAGTCATAAACGTGCTACAAGGGAAAAAACACATAATTCTCGTGTAAAATTGTGGAATCCCAATCTGGCACTATTCTGTATTGCCCATCGCTATAAAAATGACATAAAAAAGTCTAAATCTATAAGCATGAAATATACATAACTACTACTAAAAGATACATCGTATTTTCATCTTAAAGTTTTAAAATATCTACATTCATAAAATTAAATGCTATCAATTAAAACATCAGTTCCACCTATAAAGGATAACTAAATTAAAAAGTTAAAACTGATGAAATATTTTGTTTTCTCACTAAAAGATATATTTTAAAATTTTCATCTTATAGCCCTTCATAGAACCATCTGTTGGCCTTAGTTATTAGAAAGTATCTGTTTGTTGTGGAATCCCAATTTTACCTTACAAGCTGAACATGCTAAGGGAAAATAACAGTACCCCAAGAAAATCCTCACTATGTTATGTAAATCTGGGATGTCCAAACTGCATAACATATAAGATAACTCCAAGCAAAGCAGGTTGTTTACATATTTCATTTTTGGCTTTAATATTTCTATAGTGAATGTAGATAAGCTATTTACATTAGCTCCCAAAACGACATCATTTTGGGTTAAAAAATTATAATAAAAAAGACTATTATAACCTTAGAATAAATTATAAATACAAAAATATTCTGATTTCCGCTTCAAAACGACGTCGTTTTAGGCTCAATGTAGATAAATTATTATCTAGATAAACGAACCCTTCATTTTTTCAGTTCTATAATTAAAAAGATCATCAGAATAGATAAATATGAAGACAAAAATGCAACAGGTGTAATTTTAGAGTCTCTCGTATTACTAGATTTTTCAGTTCCATAGATGGTGGTGCATGATTTTTTACATCCTCCATGTGGTTGCCTCAAATTTCCATGCACAACACAATCATTGGTACAAAACAATACATGGTTCACAATATGGCGTCGGTCAAGGATGTATAGGGTCATTTTCAATTGAATGCAGATTGGTATAGAATAAATAACATACATGAATAAAAAGAAAGTAAAACTATTATACATGTAGGTCTCCAATATAAATTATTATGATTCTTTCAGAAAACACTTCACTTTATCTGTAAGGTGGCACCCCAATCATTGGCTCCAAGGGAGCCAATTGATGTTTAAGGAAATTATAAACTGATTCAGTTGTCACAGCAGCCACTCGAACAAGAAGACCAATTCTCTGCACACAAAATGATATTACAGAATCATGAAGCAGGGCTTCATCACGTAAGTGTTCCAATAAATCATAGCATCTTCTAATTTGTTAATTAGGATAAATAAATGGATATCATCGTGATTTAGACGAGGGTTTTGGGCCAATCCAAGGCCCTTTCCCTTAATCCCCACCACAAAGTTGTGGTCTCTGCCACACCAAATACAACATTCCCCTCTCTCCCAGTCATACTCCCACATCATGAGGAATGAGTTGGTCACGTACCTGCAGGTAAGTCTCACTTAGGTCATGCTGTCATACTCTAGGAATTCTTTCCATCGCTTCCCCTCTTGCTCGGATTAATCTGGTGCTAGCACCACAAGTCTAAGCTAACTGAGCTCTTGTTCACCATACTTGAGTTGAGTATCTTTAGCCCACTGAATATTGAGCCCATCATCCCCATTTTTGGGTTGACATTCCACCCTCATCCACACAACAGGTCACCTTCTATTACTAGAGTCTATGTGAGGATAAATAAATGGTAAGGCAGTATGATAATGACTCGTGTGAGAAAGAGAGATGGGGCAGGTCAGAATATGCACGGTGTGGCAGTAGGGACAGAGAAGAGAGGAAGGTGTGAATTCTTTTAGATGAAGTGCTTAAAAGCAGAGAGAAAGAGAGGGAAGGAAAGGTGTTAAGAGAAGAAATATAAAATCATTCGTGTCTTCAAGCTTTTGGGATAGTTAGTTCATGATATGGCATCCATTTGTATGATTAAGTGATCTAGAGTTTGACTCTTACCCCATTCTCCTAAAAAAAATTGAAATTAAACATAAGATAGGTAGGATAGTGCATTGCCTACCCTTCAAATCTAAAAAACTCTTACATAACAGGATGTGTAAGGAATGTAATATAAAATCATTCATGTGTTATGACCTAAAATCTTAGTTTTGCAATAATTTGTTCATGACACCGGAAAAACTGTGTAGAGTGGTTCCAGGTGGGGTTGGCCATTCCTAAGGCTCAGATTCACTTTCTAAGTCTCCTTTGGCTGTGATTCTTCTTGTTCTTTGCTGTTTTTTTGTTAGCAGCCCCCAATTAGGAAATGTTGAGATATATAGTCCCACATTGGTTGAAGAGCAACTAATGTGGAGTTTATAAGGCCTTGGGCACTCCTACCCTTTGAGCTAGCTTTTGGGGTGGTGTATCCCAAGGTTCTTTACATGGTATCAGAGCTGGGGTGATGACCTCAAGATTCTTTACAGGAACGTATATGTAGAAGAAATACGCAAGGGCCCAAAGAACCAAGTGTGCCAGCCTCTACTAGTTAGGGCTTGTTAGTTAAAATTGCTAGAGAAGTTTTTTGAGTTAGTTAATTAGTCCTCTAACTGCAGTGACAGAGGTAGGATATGAATATAGGGAGAGAATATAAGTGAGAGGAGTTAGTTGATGAGTTGTATAGAGGGGCCAGGGTTCTTCTCTTAACACTGGAGAGAAACCTCCACTGTAATTTTCTACCCATTCTTTACCTTTCAGATCTTGATTTAGATCCTAAGGAAGAAGCTACAACAACAAAATCATAGTTCTTTCTTGATAAATTCTCTATCTTGATTTCCAGTTTCTAACACTGGTAGCTCCCAAGATCCTTGGAGTTGTACAAAAGTTTGGTCTAGAAAGGATGGCACAAATGGAGGAGTTGGAGAATACTGAGAAGTAATTTCTGGACCATGGCAAGAAGCCAGATATTGAGCTGTTCTATGAAAATTATGCTTATAGTTGGGTGATCATGGTGGTGCAGCACTTCGATACCAAGGGAACTCCTGACATGGAGGAGCCGAAGGCAATTGTAAAGGCTCTAGGAGACTGTGCTTTCACTCAGTAAATGATTGGTCGCGGAACCAAAGTGTCGAAGAGATTGAATGTGGTAGACGACATTTCAAAGATGTGGTTCCTAAATGTTGTATTTACACTGCAACCCCATACTAGCAATCAATAATGAGTTAGTTGAAGAAAGTGAGAATGTTTTGGGATGAAGAGTAGGTTGAAGGGGATATAAATATCATTTGAATCACAGTCAGGGGTCAAATGTGTACTTACGAGCAATTTCAAAAGAGAAGAATTGTGTTTAATAATTTGGAGTGACCTAATTCAAAACCATAGGTTAAAGCCAACATGATATGTTGGCATTGAGGAAGTTGTGGTCATTTTTGTGTACATGATGATTGGTCATGGAGGCACTTATAGACGAGTTGAAATGATTGAAAATTGTAATAACCAAATAGGCCTCATATACACTTGAAAGAAAAGAGTATTTGAAATATTATTCAATTATATTTGAATCTGTACATAGGGGTCTCTATTTATAGAGACTTCTTGACCTAATTTTGACCTAATGGGCTTGGCCCAATATACAAGTAACGGACTAAATAAATACAAATAAATGACTAAATAAATACTAATAAATGACTACATAATTACTAATAAATGACTACATAATTACTATTTACAACACTCCCCCTCAAGCTGAGGAATAGATATTTATCATTCTCAGCTTGCTAGCAAGTTCTTGAAATCTATCTGAAGGAAGCCCCTTTGTCAATAGATCAGCTAATTGACGCCCAGTGGGAATGTATGGAGTGGTAATCAACCCGCTATCAAGTTTCTCTTTGATGAAATGGCGGTCGACCTCAATATGTTTAGTCCGATCATGTTGAACTGGATTATGAGCTATACAAATAGCGGACTTATTATCACATAGCAGCTTCATAGGTCCCTCACATTTTATTTTTAGATCATCAAGTACAATTTTCAGCCACAGTAACTCACAAATGCCTTGAGCCATAGCTCGAAATTCAGCTTCTGCACTTGATCTGGCGACCACATCTTGTTTCTTACTTCTCCATGTCACCAAGTTACCACAAAGAAACATGCAATAACCAGTGGTAGAACGACGGTCAGTCACGGATCCAGCATAATCAGCATCTGTGTAGACTTCTAAAGATAGATTGCCATCACGTCGGAATAACAACCCTTTACCAGGAGTACCTTTCAGATACTGAAGAATTCTCTCTACTGCCTGCATATGTTTCTCCTTTGGATCGTGCATAAACTGACTGACAACACTAACAGCATAAGCTAAGTCTGGTCTAGTATGGGCCAAATATATCAATTTCCCAACTAGCCGTTGATATTGTCCTTTATCAACTGGAGGACTCTCCTCTTCATAGCCCATCTTGTGATTCTGCTCAATAGGAGTATTAGAGGGTTTACACCCGAGCTTTCCTGCTTCTTTGAGAAGATCAAGAACATATTTCCTCTGGCTGATAAAGATTCCTTTGCTCGAATGAGCTACTTCTATCCCTAGGAAATATCTCAGTTTCCCAAGGTCTTTGACTTCAAACTCAGAGGCAAGCCGTGTTTGCAGAATCTGTCTCTCCACAAAATCATCACCTGTGATAATAATATCATCAACATATACAAGGAGCACAGTAAGCTTCCCATTTTGGGAGTGCTTGAAAAAAAGAGTGTGATCTCCTTGACTTTGTTTATATCCTAAGGTCATCACAACCTTAGTAAACTTTCCAAACCAGGCACGAGGTGACTGCTTCAATCCATACAAGGCCTTTTTTAATTTACAAACTTTATTTTCTCCCTTCACAGAATCAAAACCAGGCGGAATTTCCATATAGACTTCTTCTTCTAACTCACCATTGAGGAAAGCATTCTTCACATCAAATTGGTTTATATCCCAATTGTAATGGGCAGCAAGGGATAACAAAACTCTCACCGTATTCATCTTTGCAACTGGAGCAAATGTTTCTTCATAATCAATGCCATAGGTTTGAGAATAACCTTTGGCAACTAATCGAGCTTTGTATCTCTCAAGAGTTCCATCAGAATTATATTTCAGGGCATAAACCCATTTGCACCCTACTGCTTTCTTTCCAGTAGGTCTATCAATAACCTCCCATGTTTTATTTTTCTCCAATGCATTCATCTCCTCTTGCATGGCTTGAGCCCAATTCCCATCTTTCAAAGCTTCATGTACTGATTTTGGGATTGCAATAGAGTCTAGTGCTGAAACAAAGCTTTTGTGCTGCACAGACAGATTAGCAGAGGAAACAAAAATGGGAGATAGGGTATTGAGTACAAGAGGGACAAGAGGGACAAGATTTCTTGGGACAAGCTCTTTTTCCTTTTCTAAGAGCAATGGGTAAATCATCAGAATCAGTAGTAATGGGTAAGTCATCAGAAGTATTAACATCATGATCAGAAATATGAGATTCAGGACTTACCAGTGGTTCAGACGATTGAGGTTGCTGCTGAGACAATGTGGGCTGTTTCCTTCTTTCAGGTGTCATAACCTTCCGTATCTCTGGTGTACTTGATGTATCAATCACAGGAGAATCAGTCACAGGAGGATTACTCACAAGAGGATCAGACACAGGAGGAACAGACACAAGAGGAGGATACACTGACACAGGTGAAGGAGTAGACACCGAAGTTTCAAAGAAGGAAGGTGATGAGTCTTCTGGTGAATTATTCTCCCCCTGAAGATGAGGACCTTGGAAAAAGGACTCAGATTCCTGAAATGTAACATCCATAGAAACAAAGAATTTCCGACTTCCAGGGTGATAGCACTTATAGCCCTTCTTATCAGGAGCATATCCAAGGAAGACACATTTAAGAGCCCTAGGATCCAACTTACTGCGATGTTGTTTATGAATATGAACAAAGACAGCACACCCAAACACTCGAGGAGGAAGACTTTGCAAAGTTGGAACAGAAGGAAAAAAAGAAGTCATGGAGTGAATAGGACTTACATGATCGAGAACCCGAGTGGGTAGACGATTGATCAAGAACGCTGCAGTAAGAATGGCATCTCCCCAATAGCAATTGGGTACATGTGTTTGAAACAGTAAGGCACGAGCAACTTCAAGAAGGTGACGATTTTTCCTTTCAACAACCCCATTTTGTTGAGGGGTGTCTACACAAGTAAGTTCATGAATCATACCTTGATTTTGTATAAATTGGGAAAAAGAGTGATTGACATATTCAGTACCATTATCTGTCCTTAGTCTTTTGATTTTTTTTACAAAATTGAGTCTCAATCATTTTATAAAATTGAAAGAACAGTTGTGGTACCTCAGACTTTTCACGCATTAAGTAAACCCAAGTTACACGAGTGCAATCATCAATAAAAGAAACAAACCATTTATTTCCAGAAGAATGAGGGACCTTAGAAGGACCCCAAACATCAGAATGAATAAGATCAAAAGGTTCAACACTCTTAGTAATACTAGAAGGAAAAGACACACGATGATGCTTAGCAAATTCACAAACATCACAAAGAAAAGACTCAACAGACTTAGACAAAAACAATGACGGAAATAAAGATTTGAGTAAACTAAATGGAGGATGACCCAAACGCTTATGATGCAGCCAAATTAAAGAATCAGCAGTTGATTGACCATGAGACATGAAGGTGTGATCTGTTACTTTATTTGTGGGAGATTGTGACACCAGATAGTACAGCACACCTTGCTCTTTAGCACTACCAATCGTCTTCCCCGTTGCGAGATCCTGAAAAACACAATGGGTAGGGAAGAAGGTTACAGTACAATTCAAATCTTTTGTAATTTTGTGAATAGAAAGAAGATTCGTGGAGAGTTTAGGAACATGAAGAACATCCTTAAGATGTAAGGACTGTTGTAAGTTTATGTCACCAGAACCCGCAACTGATGTATGTGAGCCATCAGCTATGGATATTGTATGAGTTCCAATGGTAGGATGATAAGAAATAAAGGAGTCAGCACAACAAGCCATATGATCAGTAGCACCAGAATCAACAACCCAAGAATGTTTAAAATCATTACATGAAGAAATGAAAGAATGAGTTTTGGAGCTCATATCAGTCATAGCCAAAGCACTAGTATCAGATGGCTTACTCAGATAATCAAGAATGGTTCGGAGTCGTTCCAACTCATCTGGACGAAATGCAGATTGGGTCTCATTAGGTGCAGGGGTTATTTCAGAAGAAGTAAAATGCGTTTGACCACGCATCCTTGCCATCTTTTCTAAGACAGTTTGCTTTCCATAAAGGCGAAAGCATAAATCCTTGATATGACCTATTCTTTTACAATAAGAACACCATCGGTCATCTCTCTTACGTCTAGAAGAGGTACCATCATAAAATTTTAAAAAAGAACTCATTTGAGAAGAGGCCATACTGCACAGAAAATGGTTAAAGAAAAGCTCCAAGAAGCCAAAAAATCACAAATAAATACCAAACGATGTCCCATCAAAGAGAGGAGCACAGATCCAGAAAGAGGATGAGGAGAAGATCAGAAAACTTTTTGGCCGGAGCTGGAAAAAGTGTCCCACGCGCCTCCACGCGCCGGTGGAGGTGTCTGCGAGTGGTCCTCACTCGCCGGGAGTGTGGCGGCGCGTGAGAGCGCGTGCCGCGGCCGCCGGAGCTGAAATTTCTGCGGAGAGGTCTTCCGACGGTCTCGAACCTTTCTGTGGCCGGTCGGAGTTGAAAGGTCGCCGGAAAAGTGACCAAAACGCGATGAACAGTAGCGGCCTTGTGTTGTTTTGGGAAGATCCGGTCGTCAAACGATTATAACACGTCCGTAAGCTGATAGATCAGAGAAAAATGATTTGAAAACTGGTCCTCTTGGTCCAAAAGGTCCACCGGAAAAATTTTCCGATGGCGGCTAATGGCGGAAAGAGGCTAAGAAAGAAGGTTTCTGTTTTAACGGAGGTAATTGCGGAAGCAGAGCCCTCTGGATCGAGAGCTTTGATACCAACTTGAAAGAAAAGAGTATTTGAAATATTATTCAATTATATTTGAATCTGTACATAGGGGTCTCTATTTATAGAGACTTCTTGACCTAATTTTGACCTAATGGGCTTGGCCCAATATACAAGTAACGGACTAAATAAATACAAATAAATGACTAAATAAATACTAATAAATGACTACATAATTACTAATAAATGACTACATAATTACTATTTACAACATATACAAAGTATATATTTTTAATTGAATACAATACTAGGTGAAGTCTTAAATCTTCATAACTATATGATTTACTCATTGATTCATTATTCACTATTAATTAAGAACCAAAATATTTTAATTGAAATCATCAAGGAACAAAATTCTTGATTGTGGTAGAACGATATTTCAAAGATAGGGTTCCTACTGATTATGTTGTATTTACTCTGCAACTTTTTCCCCGCAGAAGCAATTAATAATGAGTTAGTTGAAGAAAGTGAGAATGTTTTGGGAATGAATAGGAGTGTGAAGGGGATACTTATTAACACCCCCTTGCCTTTTGTATTTATGACCAATTTCGAGTGAGCAATTTGAGTGATTGGTCTGCTCAGAAGTTGCAGCATATCTCTTGGGCTGTCTCCTTTCCAGGGTTAGGGCTGGACGTCCTAATATTCTAACTGCTGAAAACACACAGAAAGTTTCCTCTATTTCATTCTATTTTCCAATATTCTTATGTCTAGTAAACAATAGCATTGCACTGAAAATGAACTGAGTCCAAGAAAAAACTAGGATCATAGAAGAATTCAGATACAAACTCAAGTCAAAGCACTCTTCAAACAATGACATCAAACTAATTAATTGAAATTATATATAGTTTACCTTAGGACCAAACGCACTGCAAGAAGCCATGAAGCTTGGCTTTGTCAGGAAAGGATCAGCTTTGTCTCTTTGGTGGCTCAAGGCAGCGGAAGGATGCTGTAATTGCTCAGACATAATTCTTTTCACGTGATCTTGCACTAGATTTTGGATATATTGCATCTTTGGCCTAAAAAAAATAAAGCAAATAGTACACAAATTCATAATACAAAAAACATTAATCCAGAAATAAGTAGGACAAAATAAATCACTCACCCCAGGAGTACAATCATTGCAATTACTTGGTAGTCTTGCATCTGTTCCTGTACACAGCCAATTTTTCCTTTCTCTAATAACATCTGCTTGTTACAAGAAGCCATTTAAGTATAATAAGAAGGGTGGAAAGTATATCAATCCCGAAAAAGATTGTCCAAATTGCCTTTCCCAAAATATCTTGAAACTAAATAAATTCCAACTAGCAAAAGAGGCATGCTGTTTTATGTACTGCATGTGACATGAGAGAAAGATGCAAAAGCAACATATGCTACTAGATTTGGATACTCTCATTTTAGCTCTTAACATGATATTGTTATTACAGAAATAGATAGGTACAACACCCTGTATAGGGGATAGACATTTCCTTCATGAGATCCCACAATCCTGCATATGGTCCGAATGTTGTGTCTGTCACTTTCAAGCAATGATAAAGTTATGTTAGGAGCTAAAATGAGAGGATCCAAATCCAATGCTGCCAGTTTGAAAGGGGTGCGAAAGCAACTAGAGTCTTCTAAGAGTGGTATTTCCTCCATGTCTGCAATCCCCTCCCCCCCTTTTTTTGTTCACTACTTCAGTAGTTCTCATAAGACAGCAGTTTTCTCCTTCTCCAATAACTTTTGGTTGCAAAAAGGGAGTAAGACATCAAATAATGAAATAATTTGCATAAAATGGAAATATAAAGTCCCAAAATTTTGGCCATTAAAGTGTTCTGAAAACTGTTAGGTACACTCATATCTACTATTTGTTACATAACAACGGTCGATCGCTATCCAGCAAACATATTTCAAAGTTGACCATTTTTTCGTATAATGGGGGGAAGTGTCAAGATGGTGAAAATATGTACCAAACATGTTTCTGATGGTAAGGGCTAAAGTACATGAATTTGAACCCAGAAGCATTAATCATCTCCCCGTATTATGAATATGCACCACCAGATAATATTCATATATGATACTAATTAATAAACCCATAAAAAGATGACATAACAGCTACCTTTCAGCAAAACAGCGTCAAAGAAAGGAAAATGTGGTAGGGAGCAGATTGGAGCATGCAATACAACTAGCCAAATTTATTAAGATTAGGCTAGCCATTTAACTGGCAACACTCTTTGGAATTGAAATCTATTAACAAATTTTCCACAAAATTCCAAAAATTACTTTTTGATATGACAGAATAAGAAGAAACTAAAAAAGAGAGGAAATTAAGATTTCAAGATAATTTTAGCAAAGCTTACGTCTTACAAGCTCAAGCAATTTTGAAGTACAATTGATAACAAGTACAACAAGGACAGCAGTAAAACAATTACCGAATCCAGAAATAAAGGTTGACCATCTTCTAAGAATATATTATTGGTGCTTCTATATAGATCAAAATCCCATTTTTCTCCACTTTCATGGCGCCCACTCGTAATCCAATCAACAATGACCAAATTTGAGTCTGAAAACACACTGAAGACTTGTTTCTGATAGTATCTTGCAGTGGAAAAACATGTTACTGGATCTGGAATGATGGCTAAAAGCGCATTGCTTCCAACTCGTGCCTACTACACAGGATGATTTAGCTGTTGTCAAAACTTCAACTCAGTGGACTCATAACAATTTTATAATACTCATGCCATGGCCATAAATCTTGATCACCATCAGTTATTGAAAAGCGAAAAACATCTCCTTAAGTTAATAATGACAAGCATAAATTCAAGAACCTCAAAACAGTCAATGCCAATCCTTTTTCTATCATGTAAAATGACAACTCCTTAAGTTAATAATGACAAGCATAAATTCAAGAACCTCAAAAGAAATATACAGTCTTGTTACCTCTAATGTTTGTTCAGAACACTTAGATCCCACAGATTTGAAGACCTAAACAAAAAAAAACAAAATTATCAATAATATAAACATAAGCCTAGTTGAAGACCAGAATTCACTCTGACCAAAAGCAACTAATCAAAGAGATAAAGCATCATATTCATAAGCAACTGACCCAGAAGCCATCACAGTCCAAAATAAATCACTTGAAGAAGGAAAAAAAAAAACTAATCAATAAGAAAAAAAGTAGTCGACCTTAGTAGAACCTTGGGTGGTTAACACCATGGTACAAGTATCTCCCACAGAAAACTTGCAAGAAATGTGATCACCCTACATCTCATAATGCAAGCACAAATCCAAAGTCAAATGCAAATAGAAACATAAAACCAAGGAAGTGGAAAAAAACCAAAAATGAAAAAGAACTCACAGATAAAATTCCACCTCCATAAGTGAGGGCATAAACCCAGACAGCATCAGTTTTGGAAGAACCCACCTAAGCAATCAGTGAAAGAAACATTCTTTAAGTAAACATGACTGAGAAAAAAAATGAAAAGTTAAAGATTGTTCAAAACCTTTTTGGGTATGATGAACTTTAGGGGATATCTTGATAAGCAGTTTGTCACTGATGATTTGCCTCCAACTTTTTCAACTATCACTGTACCCATTTCAATTTCTTTGTCTCTTTCCCCATTTCTCATTCTTCCTCCACTGTCAACAGATGATGGTTCCTTGTACTTGTTTTAGAAAAAAGAAAAAACATATATTTTCTTTCACAAGATTGGATGAAGAGAAAAATGGAGAAAGAAAATTAGAAACATAAACAGAAATGCTTACATATTTTTTCAAGTTCAAACTTAAAAAATAAAATAAAAAAATGGGCCAAGATCCTTAAACTCGGGCAAGGAGCGAGCAGTGGCGAAGCGAGGGAGATGCTAGCGGAAAATTACCAGCATTATTTTTAATTTTTAGTTAATATTATGATAATTAAAATCTTTATTTATTATCTATGATGTATTCACGTTGACGACACGTTAACACGTTAATTTCTAAAAGATGTCATATTCTGATACGTTGAGACATGTTTTAATATTACATAATATTTTTAATGTATATAATATAATTTATATTTAATACATATAACAGTTCATAAAGAGTCATATAATCAATTAAATATTTAAATTTTATAACAAAAATATAAACAAAAATGATTTTTCATCCTTTGTTAATTTTTCATGTCAAATTTCATAATAGAGAAAAAATTGATTTATAAATTATTTTTCATATTTAGTTAATAAAATAAAATTAAGTTCTAAAAAAAAAGTGTCGAATATGTGTCGGAGCGTTGATCACGTGTCGAAAATAGTTGACTGCGTGTCAGAATGTATCGAAGCTTTGACCGCGTGTCCCATAATATTGACTGTTGTCGGACGCGTGTTGGAACGTGTCAGAGCGTGTCGGTATCCGACACGTGTCCGACATGCATCTTTTCATTTTTTTGCGTGCCCGTGCTATATAGTTTATTATTATAATTTTATTTTTTTATATTTTTTTATCAAAAATATTTTATTAATATTTTAAATGTTTTTATAATTTTTTATATTACAATTTTACTTTTGATAAAATTTTATCTCCATTTTAATTTTACGTAAAATCTCAACATATTAATTCTCGCCATCCTTCAAAATGTACAAAAATCTTTAGTTGTAAGCAGCGTTTTTATTTTTATTTTATTTTTTTGTTAATAAATAATTACAACTTCAAAAGGAAAATTTATATTATAATTTTACCACTTTAAACAAAACAAAAAAAACTGGCTCCGCCGTTGGCTAGCATCCATATGCTATGATGCACGGACACGGACACGGGACACGACACGACACGACACTCCGACACGTAAATTCTAAAAAATGTTAAATTTCGACACGTTGGGACACGTTTTGATATTAAATAATATTTTTAATATATATAATATAATTTAAATTTAATACATATAACAACTCATAATAACTTATATACTAATCAAATATTCAAATTTCATAACATAAATAATAAAACATCCCAATTCTCAGGTGCACTGGTTATCTTTTTCTTAGCCAACTATGTAAACCAATAATCAAAAAGGAAACAAACAAAGAGGTTATGACACGTGTCCGACTTTACCTATTGTTATTATTTTTCTTAATCCAAAATTTAATCTCTCCACTTATCACAGATATCAGATTACATGTTATCACACGTGTCCCTATCCTTTTTTCCATCAAATGGAATCTCTCCACACAACTTCCTTGAGAATAGATTACTCGTTGATTATTCTTCTTTGAGGTGTGTGTTTCCTTGTGAGGGAAACGAAAGGCCAAGTCAAGGTCTTTCACTCTCTCTTAGTTCAAACAATCCTTCCAGTATTGGCTTGCAATCTTTTGAGCTAAGACAACCTGATTTTGTTTTGTCGAGTTCCAGAGAGGGACTCTTCGGAAAATCCACGAATGTTCATCAACATCAACAGCAGCAGCAACAACAACAACAACAACAGATGTTGCAAAATGGTTATTTGAGTGCTAAAGCTGCGAATCTTTATCAAGGACATTTCCTGCTCAAGAACTCCAAGTACTTGATACCTGCACAAGACCTTCTGAACGAGTTTTGTTGTTTGGGCACTTATCCACAAAGAACAAATCCACACAACTTCCAGGGGAGATGTATGTAGGCGACGACGAAGAAGATGACCGAGATGAAGACACGATCGACGACGAAGCTCCAGCGTGAACGAACGAGAGAGAGGATAGAGTTCTAGAGTTTTTAATTTTTATTAAATATTTTTTTAATTATATTTTATTTATTTAAAAAAAAATCAAAACGTGTCCCAAAACGTGTCCACATCGTTGACTGCGTGTCGGATTCGGTCAAATTCGCGTGTCCCACTAGTCAACGTGTCCCAAAAAATTGACTGCGTGTCGAACGCGTGTCGGAGCGTGTCGGAACGTGTCCGTGTCGGACACGTGTCCGACACGCAAATTTTCCAAAAATTCCCGTGTCCGTGCTTCAGAGACCATATGCACAAGGCAAGGCAGCACTCAAATCCTATTAGGAATTTTTAGTGAAAAGGATTAAAGTAAAACTGGGAAAAAAATAATTTTACCCGACTCTTTAGTATAAAATAAAGCAATTATCATTTTATATTTTATTATTTATTTTTAATACAAGTAAAAATTGAAAACACAACTTACTCAAACTCCTTATCGCTAGTAATCCTAATGGCTTAACCATTTTCTACTTAAACCCTTCATAAACTCATCGTTAGTTTCCATTAAAACAATTAACCTATTTGCACAGTCTATTAACTTATATGTTAATTAACGGCAAAAAATTAATATATTATTAACTGTTTTAAACCAATTTACAAATTTATTATACTTAACCGTGCCCTAAGTAGACGCAACAAGTCACACCTCACATAGGCGTCACCCGTGTAAAGTAGTGTCCCACACAGAGTGACTCGTCCGATGACGACACATGACACAAAAAATATCAATAATTTGACAATAAAACTTCAAAAGGCTATAACTTTCGACTCAATTATCCAAAATGTCAAAAAATGATGCGAAGATCAATTTGTTAATAGTTTCATTTGTGAAAGATCAATGCTCTCATGATCTGATCTTCAGGAAGCATGGTCATATTAATTGTTTCTACCTATGCAGACTGCCAGAAAATTTGAGAGTCAGTTAGCAAAATCCATTTTTGGAGGCAATGGTCAACTTGCATTTGAAAAGCTTGCAACTGCTACTCTTGAAAAGTTAATGCCACGAATTGAAGGGAAGGGAGAGTTTGGCCAAGCTAGGTTTAGGGTAGTGTACGCTCCTCATATTCCCAGTTCGGTTTCTGCTGATCCTGTAGATCCTTTCAGGTTATTTGCTAGTAATATATCATTTGTCACTGAAGTTGAAGTCCAGCTTGGGAAACGTCTTCAGGTAATCATAATCAAATTAGTGTATCTTTCAATATTTTGCTTCTCAAGATCTTGGTTACTATTAATTTCAGTCGACTTCTTTTGACAACAAACAAATCTGTACCAATAGATGGAAAATATTGTTTATAAAATTTCTTTAGGAAGTTTCTTGATAAAAATATTGTTTAGTTACAATAAGTGGTTACTCATTAACCGCAGTTTGGAGTTTAAACATCATTAACTTAATGAGTAATTAACCATTCCTAAACTAGAAACATCTTTTCTTCACAATTTTTTTTTTCTTTGGTAATAAATATTCCCTGAATATTATCTTGTTGGATATGGGCTTTATCGTTCGTCATCTCTTTTTATCCAAATCAGTTTATTTTTTATTCCACGTTATCTTTTGATATTTACCTAATGACATTTCATTAAAGAAGATTTGATAAAAAAATTTGAACACCATAGTAATAGTCCATGTAAGTTGCTTTGAACATATTTCAAACTTTAATTTGAAGGCCTAACCATGGTGCACCCATAATCGCTCTGCACCATGAATTTCTCCCGAACATGTATCCTAGGCAACATAGAGCGAAGATTGATTCATGTATAAGCCACCAAGAAATAAGCTAAAAAATAAATAAAATAGGAAGCAGAATCAGGTTTAGAAATCATATGTGTATGCAATATATGTTGGTTTTAGAAGTTATCAATATGGGAAAAATTTCTTTTACTATCTCCTTAAGTCTTAACCCTACGGGTAATTGAAGAATTTAATTATGCTTTCTATAATCAGAACAAGAAGTTTGTGATTTGCTACTTTTAACATTTTTAGGTTATGGTATACCAAATATGATAATAATTGGAAAAAATTTGTTCACTCCAAGGGGAAAATTATGTGGAATTGATTAATGGCACTTGAAACGATTCAAATTTTAAAGCTTTTGTTATTTGTGGATTTATGGTCGATGAAACAAAATTGGTTAGAGATCGATTTAATTTATAGTCTAGAAAAACTGGACAAATTTTTTTCTTGACATAATATAATAATGTATTATTATAATTAAATATTTGAATAGAAATAGATTGTGTCATCAATCACATTTTTAATTTTTTTTTTTACCAAATCACATTCAATGAAATATTATTACGTAGATTTCGAAAAATTATATGAAATAAAAACAAATCACTTAATTCAGACACTCGAATAAAAAATTATGACCTTTCAAAGTTTTATTGTCAAATTGTTGACTTTTTATGTTACGTGTTCGTTACCGGATGAGTTACGTCTGTGTGGAGCGCAATTTTGCACTGATTGTGCCTATGTGAAGTGGAGCTTGTTATGCCCGTGTGAGCACGACTGAGTGCAATTAAATTAGTTTAAAATAACTATGTTTTTGAAAAAAATTTATTAAAATAATAATATATTGTTTTTTGTCCGGTTAATCAACATCAAATTCTGTTAATTCTCACGTGCACTAAAAAAACACAAATTCAATTCCCATGGGTGCATACCATGCGCAAAGGATCAAAAGAACAACAGTGATTTTCATCCATTGTCTTGTAATATAATTACATATTTTATTTTATCTTTTAAAAATCGTGTTTCTTATTCTATTTAGTTATGATAGAAATTTGGAGAAAATTAATGGGATTAATTGATGGGAATAACATCTATTCTTTTAAAGAATATAAAGAATGACCTAATAGATTATAACCGTTGATGGACGGAAATCAACAGTTAAGATTTAAAAGGATAAAAATCTTTTAAAAAGATAGATATTTTTCCCTTAATTGATTTAGAGAATTAATAAAGGGAGAGTTATATTTCTCTCAACCGAAGTCAAATTTCTACACACAAAAAATAAACGGTGAATCCCATTTTTATTTTTATTTTCTCTCTTTTTTGTTTGTGAATTCTGCTTGTGATATTGTTTTGTTTTTTGTAATACATTGCTTGTGATATTGTCTTTGAGATAAAGAAAATGATAGGTTACCAAAAAAAAAAAAAATGATTTATCTTGAATTGGGTCCGTAAAAATAAAATAATATAAAAGCAAAGATAGACCAATTCGGATAAGGGGCTTTCGGCTGGCAGCGTCTACAAGAAAGATAGGAGCATCGTTGAAAAAGCTTGGGAGCAAGGTAGTAAGTATCCTCAACTGAACCCCATATTCCTCTCCTTTGCTTCTTGAACATCACTATTGCAGTGTTCTACCATATTGACATTGTTGCACTATTGCAGGAACCAGAGCTCAAAAATGGTGGTCAGGATTCGGTTATCAAGGTTGGGGTGCAGGAACAATCCATTCTACAGGGTCATTGTTACTGATAGTAAAACAACAAGAGATGGCAAGAACCTTGAAGTTTTAGGTTTCTATAATCCTCGATCAGGTTATCGCCATATCCCTTAACTCTTTAGACTGGCCTGTGCTGTGAGGTTGAAAATATTTTCATTCAAAAAAAAAAATATTGGTAATAGCGGTGGTAAAAAATACATTATTAGTTTTTCATACAGTATTGCATATAGAATTTTTCAGGTTAGTGGTATTGTTTGATAATAATATTTTAATACACTCCTGTAATTAAAAAAACATGATGCCTGTTTGTTTATAGATATTATTTATATCTGTTAGGAATGAGAAAGAGAGGATGGGGGATGGTTCAAGTTGATGCTAATTAATTTCTTTTGTTTTTTTAACTTGTATTTCTTTTGTACAGGCAAAGATTCTGATAAAAGAATGGGTCTCAAACTTGAAAGAGTGAAGTAAGTAACTTCGTATAATTTCAAGTTATCTAGTTACTAGTATACCAGTTAGGGGAAATCAGTGATAATTGTTGGAGACCATGTATGCCTCATTATTTGCTTTACAAAACCTTGCATGTTATTGTTAACATATTTTAATTCTTGTAAGTTTGTACGCTCCATGAAACATATGTGAAATACTAAAATACTCTTCGAATTGTTCTTTTCAACCTGTCCAAAATAATCGTAGCTCCAAATGTTCATTTTTGTTTTCTACTTTCCCTGACATTTTCTTAATATGCTAAAATTGTTGCTACAATGAGTGGCTCTTTTTATTTTTACTAAATTACTAGGAAGAAGTTTACACGTTGGCAGTGGGCTTATACAACTGTGCAGAAGGCCTTTGGTCGGTATAATGAGATATAATGTTGTTGCATTTCATATTGATAGATCCGAGAGGGTCAGGGATGTCCAAATGAAGGTTGATAATTGTGTCTCTGGTCGGTACGCCTGCGGGAGTCTATGGAAGAGATGTCGTAAGGGGTAATAGATCACTTTGCACAATAATACTGGCATATAGCCTTAGGCGTGGGGTGCATGCACAGTGAAAACTAAGAGAGTGTGGAGTGGCCAGAGTGTGTACCTGAGAGGTTTAACTCTTTATTTATAGAAGGTGTTACCTGTAGGTGAAGAGTCCTAATAGGAGTCAAGTTGTTGAGGGGATAGGATGGAGAGTCTTATCGCTTATCCCTTGGGCATAGGATCCTATCTCTTATCTCTTTAACTTGTCATTTATCCTTAGTTGTTGCTTCTAGAAGCTATGGGCCCATAGGATGGGTCCAAAACACATGTTTGTAGTTGTCTCTAAGAATGAAAAGCAAATTTTTTGGTTGCACGGCTGTCAACCCCTATCCATCTATCTATCTTTATGAATTTAACTGGACAGACATCTCCACCATATTTCTTCTAGCATTGATCTTTAGTGCTCTTGTAGTACATACGCCTTAACTAAAAGTAGAAATGAATGAAACTCGTGATATTAACCATGAAGAAATTTTCCTTCTTTAGGTATTGGCTTTCTGTTGGAGCCCAACCTTCAGATACTGTAGAGAGTCTTTTATTTCAAGCTGGTTTACTGCCTCCACCACCAATCGTGACAATGGAACATCAAGGTGGACCATGGGATAAATTCCCTGTTGATGCTTTAAATGGACATACCCTGAACCAAGAGCAGCCAGCCAATTCTGATCACAAAGAAGATGATGGTGAACTGGACACTACTTCTTGAAACTCTTTTAGTGCTGTTTTCAGATGTCTTGTTTTTCTCATTTCATTTACCATTTATTCTAGGTATATCTCCTGAAGCTATATTTGCTATTGGCTTACAAGTTAAATGAAGATAGTAACTTCCATATGTCTGGAGAAGGTAAGTGGTGTTGTGAGCTGTCATCCAAAGCAAGGGCAAGACTTTGATCAAATTTTGCACCCTGTTAAATGCTACATATAAATAGACTGATAGGTTATCTTTCTTTTGAAGCACCCGTTAATTTGTTTTCTAGAACTTTTTACGTGAGGAAGATGCTAGTACAATAATGAAAGTAGCTAATTTTATTTTGGAGTTATTCCTCTACCCTATCATGGATGTATGCTCGGCATTGTTGTCTATTATCTAGTTGACTTTTATGTTTCTGCAATTCTTCTTGATTCTGAGGATTCTTTTGAAATATAATCCTGTTTTCTTTTTTATATGTCATGAAAGAAATGAAGTTATTTGCCTCACAAAATGTTAAAAGAAAATCACAAACACTTTTGTAATTATAAATGAAAAGAGTGCGCAGTTTGAAGTTCTGGCGAGGAGTGAGCCTTGAGGTTCAATATCCTGTTTGTTGTAGGAAGCAGATCTCAAATATTGAAGCAGAGTCTCCAATATTCTGGCTAGGTTTCGAGTTTAGTATTTAGAGCCTATTATTACTCAGCAAAACAAAAGATGACAGATACCTCGGAATTTTAGGTTGAAAGTCAAATCCCTAACCAAGTGTAGAATGGCCTGGTGAGGTTGAAAGTCTGCGTATTCAAAGAAATTTTGCAAATTATGTGATTCAAAATTGCATTTTCCCTCATCGGTAAAGGTAAACAATTTTTTTTCCTGTGGGTGTAGTTTCCATGCTCTTGTATAGGGTATGGTGGATTGGTAAGGCACCCAATGGTTCTCTTTGCTTTTCCTTAATTAGTGGGGTTAACAGAAATGACCTGTATAAAAAGTTGTTGGAAAGGATATAAAATCAGTATAATGCATATTAATAGTAGAGACTTCTTAATTTCCATTCAACATATAATTTTCATTCATCAATGGTTGAGATGTACGGTTGAGATGCGATCTAAGACTTCTTAATCTTATACCGGTGTAAAAAAAACTTGCCCATTTTAATATAATGGTAGCATTGAAATTCAAACATATAAACTCATATCCCTCACCACTAAACGGCTTAATAAATCATGCATCTGTTTTGCCCAATACGTATCACAGTCATAAATTCATATTATCATAATTTTTCATAATTTTCCTGAAATTCTCATGTTCTTTAAGCTATGTTTGGGAGTTGGTTTTAGGAGGAGAAGGAAAGGAAAGGTTTTAGAAAGTCCTTCCCTTGTTTGTGAGTTTAAAAAAAGGAGGGGGAGAAATTGAGAATTTTTACTAAACCCTCCTTAAAATTAAAGTTCCCCCAATTTAGGGGGTTTAGGGGGAAAAATATTGAAAATTACTTATCTACCCTTAACATTAAAATGTGAAAACAATATAACTACAAAAAAAAATGTGAAAACAATATAAATGTGAATCATTTTTAAATGTGACATTATTAGAAAAGTCTCTAATACCGATAGAATTTATCGACGAAAAATATTTCGTAAAAAATAATGATAAATTTTTTGATGAAAATCATATACGTAAAAAAATTTCCGTCAAAACCAAAGACGAAATTAGAGACGAAATCATATTTTACCATAATCACTGACATAATTTTTTTACGGAAAAAAATTCAATCAAAATTATTGATAGAATCTAAATTTAGTAAAACAATTACGTCAAATGTTTTTACGAAAAACATTTCCATCAAATTTTTTCTCAAAAATTTTCGACGAAAAATATTTACTTCAAAATTTGTGACTAAAAACAATTCTATAAAAATTTTGAAGAAATTTTTTTTTGTCAAAATTCTTTATGAAATCTAAATTTCGTCAAAATATTTCACAAAAAAACATATACATCAAAAATTTTGACGAAAAATATTTCTATGAGAATTTTTAACGAAACACATTTCCATCGAAAATTTTTGACGAAAAAAATTTCATCAAATTTTTTTACAGAATTTAAATCTTGTCGAAAGTTTTCGACAGAAACATTTTCATTAAACTTTTTGACAAAAAAAATTTCTACCAAAAATTTTCGACGAAAAAATATTTCCGTCAAGTTTTTTGATAAAACACATTTCCATCAAAATTTTCAACAGAACACATTTCTGTCAAAAATTTTTGACAGAAAATATTTTCGTAAAAAATTTGGTTTAAAAATATGTTGATAAAAAATTTTGACGAATAAAATATTTTGTCAAAATTCTTTACAGAATCTAAATTTCATCGAAAGTTTCGAATGAAACATTTATTTTAAAATTTTTGACAAAATAATTTCTGTTGAAATTTTTGTCAGAACACATTTTAATCGAAATTTTGAACGAAAAACATTCCATCAAATTTTTTTATGGAATTCTTTTTTCTTTTAAAACATTTGATGGAGGAAATCATTTTCGTCAAAACTTTTGACGAAAACTAAATTTTGTCAAAAAATTTGATAAAAAATTTATTTTTGTGAAATTTTTTATCGGAGAAAAAAATTCGTCGCTTTTCGACGAAAATTATTCTGACGAAAAAATAAATGTGACAAAATTTTCATCGTTAGCAACGTAAAAATTTTATCAAAAATATGATCTTTTTTAGTATTGTGAAAAGTACATAAATAATTTTACTAGAACATTTTAATTTAATTTAATTTGCAAAATATAATAACTATATTTATTTTAAAATTGAGGTAAAATAGTAAAAAATCTCATTAACCCTTCATTTTTCTCCCTTAACAATTTTTTAACTCCCAAACAACGAAAGATAATACCTTTTAATTTCCTTCCCCTCCCTCTCCCTTGGATCCCCTTCCTTCCCTTCCTCTCCAAACTCCCAAACAAAGCCTTATAAAGTCTTTACGACGTGCTACAAGGGAGAAACACATAATTCTCGTGTAAAACTTGTGGAATCCCAATCTGGCACTATTCGGTATTGCCCATCGCTATAAAAATGACATAATCATAATCCTATGAAAAAAAGTCTAGATCTATAAGCATGAAATATACACAACTATTACTAAAAGATACATCGCATTTTCATCTTAAAGTTTTAAAATATCTACATTCATAAAATTCAATGCAATCAATTAAAACACCAGTTCCACCTATAAAGGATAATTATATTAAAAAGTTAAAACTGTTGAAATATTTTGTTTTCTCACTAAAAGATATATTTTAAAATTTTCATCTTATAGCCCTTCATAGAACCATCTGTTGGCCTTAGTTATTAGAAAGTATCTGTTTGTTGTGGAATCCCAATTTTACCTTGCAAGCTGAACATGCTAAGGGAAAATAACAGTACCCCAAGAAAATCCTCACTATGTTATGTAAATCTGGGATGTGCAAACTGCATAACATATAAGATAACTCCAAGCAAAGCAGGTTGTTTACATATTTCATTTTTGACTTTAATATTTCTACGGTAAATGTAGATAAGCTATCTACATTAACTCCCAAAACGACGTCATTTTGGGTTGAAAAATTAAAAAATTATAATAAAAAAGACTATTATAACCCTGGAATAAATTATAATTACAAAAATACTCTAATTTCTGTCTCAAAACGACGTCGTTTTAAGCTCAATGTAAATAAGTTATTATCTACATTGACGGTAGAAAAAACGAACCCTTCATTTTTTCAGTTCTATAATTAAAAAGATCATCAGAATAGATAAATATGAAGACAAAAATGCAACAGGTGTAATTTTAGAGTCTCTATTATTACTAGATTTTTCAGTTCCATAGATGGTGGTGCATGATTTTTTACATCCTCCATGTGGTTGCCTCAAATTTCCATGCACAACACAATCATTGGTACAAAACAATACATGGTTCACAATATGGCCTCGGTCAAGGAAGTATAGGGCCATTTTCAATTGAATGCAGATTGGTATAGAAATAAATAACATGCACGAATAAAAAGAAAGTCAAATTATTATACATGTAGGTCTCCAATTAAAATCATTATAATTCTATCAGAAAACACTTGACTTTATCTGTAAGGTGGCACCCCAATCATTGGCTCCAAGGGAGCCAATTGGTGTTTAAGAAAATTATAAACTGATTCAGTTGTAACAGCAGCCACTCGAACAAGAAGACCAATTCTCTGCACACAAAATGAAGTTGCAGTAGCAACATTTATAATTAAATCATATTACAGAGTCATGAAGCAGGGCTTCATCACGTAAGTGTTTCAATAAATCGTAGCATCTTATAATTTGTTAATTAGGATAAATAAATGGATACCATCGTGTTTTAGATGAGGGTTTTGGGCCAATCCAAGGCCCTTTCCCTTAATCCCCGCCACAAAGTTGTGGTCTCTGCCACACCATATAGAACACTCCCAGTCATACTCCCACATCATGAGGAATGAGTTGGTCATACTCTAGGAATTCTTTCCATGGCTTCCCAGCATTTCACACACCTCCCCTCTTGCTCGGATTAATGTGGCGCTAGCACCACCCGTCTAAGCTAATCGAGCTCTTGTTCACCATACTTGAGTATCTTTAGCCCACTGAATATTAAGCCCGTCATCCCCATTTTTGGGTTGACATTCCAGCCTCATCCACCCATCACCTCCTATTACTAGACTCTGTGAGGATAAATAAATGGTAAGGCAGTATGATAACAACTCATGTGAGAAAGAGAGATGGGGCAGGTCAGAATATGCAGAGTGTGGCAGTAGGGACAGAGAAGAGAGGAAGGTGTGAATTCTTTTAGATAAAATGTTTTAAAAGCAGAGAGAAAGAGAGGGAAGGAAAGGTGTTAGAGAAGAAATATAATATCATTTGTGTCTTCAAGCTTTTGGGATAGTTCATGATAGGGCATCCATTTGTATGATTAAGTGATCTAGAGTTTGACTCTTGAAATTGAAATTCAACATAAGATAGGTAGGATAGTGCATTGTCTACCCTTCAAATCTAAAAAACTCTTGCATAACAGAATGTGTTAGAAATGTAATATAAAATCATTCATGTGCTATGACCTAAAAACTTAGTTTTGCAATAATTCATTCATGACACCGGAGAAATTGTGCAGAGTGGTTCCAGGTGGGGTTGGCCATTCCTAAGGCTCAGATTCACTTTCTAAGTCTCCTTTGGCTGTGATTCTTCTTGTTCTTTGCTGTTTTTTTGTTAGCAGCCCCCAATTAGGAAAGTATATGTAGAAGAAATACGCAAGGGCCCAAAGAACCAAGTGTGCCAGCCTCTACTAGTTAGGGCTTGTTAGTTAGAATCGCTAGAGAAGTTTTTTGAGTTATTTAATTAGTCCTCTAACTGCAGTGACAGAGGTAGGATATGAATATAGGGAGAGAATATAAGTGAGAGGAGTTAGTTGATGAGTTGTGTAGAGGAGCCAGGGTTCTTCTCTTAATACTGGAGAGAAACCTCCATTGTAATTTTCTACCCATTCTTTACCTTTCAGATCTTGATTTAGATCTTAAGGAAGAGGCTACAACAACAAAATCATAGTTCTTTCTTGATAAATTCTCTATCTTGATTTCCATTTCCTAACACTGGTAGCTCCCAAGATCCTTGGAGTTGTACAAAAGTTTGGTCTAGAAAGGATGGCACGAATGGAGGAGTTGGAGAATACTAAGAAGTAATTTCTGGGCCATGGCAAGAAGCCAGATATTGAGCTGTTCTATGAAAATTATGCTTATAGTTGGGTGATCATACTGGTGCAGCACTTCGATACCAAGGGAAATCCTGACATGGAGGAGCCGAAGGCAATTGTAAAGGCTCTAGGAGGCTGTGCTTTCACTCGGTAAATGATTGGTCGTGGAACCAAAGAGTTGAAGAGATTGATTGTGGTAGAACGACATTTCAAAAATGTGGTTCCTAAATGTTGTATTTACACTGCAACCCCATACTAGCAATCAATAATGAGTTAGTTGAAGAAAGTGAGCATGTTTTGGGATGAAGAGTAGGTCGAGGGAGATGTTTATATTTATCCTTTGAATCACAGTCAGGGGTCAAATATGTAATTATGAGCAATTTCAAATGAGAAAAATTGTGTTTAATAATTTGGAGTGACCTAATTCAAAACCATAGGTTAAGCCAACATGATACGTTGGCATTGAGGAAGTTGTGGTCATTTTTGTGTACACGATGATTGGTCATGGAGCCACTTATAGACGAGTTGAAATGATTGAAATTAGCAATAAGATAATAGGCCTCATATACAAAGTATGTATTTTTTATTGAATACAATACTAGGTGAAGTCTTAAATCTTCATAACTATATGATTTACTCATTGATTCATTATTCACTATTAACTAAGAATCCAAAATATTTTAATTGAAATCATCAAGGAACAAAATTCTTGATTGTAGTCGAACGATATTTCAAAGATAGGGTTCCTACTGATTATGTTGTATTTACACCGCAACTTGTTCCCCGCAGAAGCAATTAATAACGAGTTAGTTGACGAAAGTGAGAATCTTTTGGGGACGAATAGGAGTGTGAAGGGGATACTTAATTAACACCCCCATGCCTTTTGTATTTATGACCAATTTTGAGTTAGCAATTTGAGTGATTGGTCCTAAACTAAATTATTCAGGCTTCCCTTCAACTATTTGGCCCCGCTTTGAGTGATTGATCTGCTCAGAAGTTGCAGCATATCTCTTGGGCCGTCTCCTTTCCAGGGTTAGGGCTGGACGTCCTCCTTAGTTTCGGTTCTTACTTGGCACCCTATATAGTACTACAAGTGCAATCCAAAACCAACTAAGACTAATAACCCTAATATTCTAACTGCAGAAAACACACTGAAAGTTTCCTCTATTTCATTCTATTTTCCAATATTCTTATATCTAGTAAACAATAGCATTGCACTGAAAATGAACTGAATCCAAGAAAAAACTAGGATCATAGAAGAATTCAGATATAAATTCAAGTCAAAGCACTCTTCAAACAATGACATCAAACTAATTAATTGAAATTATACATAATTTACCTTAGGACCAAACACACTGCAAGAAGCCATGAAGCTTGGCTTTGTCATGAAAGGATCAGCTTTGTCTCTTTGGTGGCTCAAGGCAGCAGAAGGATGCTGTAATTGCTCAGACATAATTCTTTTCACGTGATCTTGCACTAGATTTTGGATATATTGCATCTTTGGCCTAAAAAAATAAAGCATATAGTACACAAATTCATAATACAAAAAACATTAATCCAGAAATAAGCAGGACAAAATAAATCACTCACCCTAGGAGTACAATCATTGCAATTACTTGGTAGTCTTGCATGTGTTCCTGTACACAGCCAATTTTTCCTTTCTCTAATAACATCTGCTTGTTACAAGAAGCAATTTAAGTATAATAAGAAGAGAGGAAAGTATATCAATCCTGAAAAAGATTGTCCAAATTGCCTTTCCCAAAATATCTTGGAACTAAATAAATTCCAACTAGCAAAAGAGGCATGCTGTTTTATGTACTGTATCTGACATGAGAGAAAGATGCCAAAGCAACATATGCTACTAGATTTGGATACTCTCATTTTAGCTCTTAACATGATATTGTTATCACAGAAATAGATAGGTACAACACCCTGTATAGGGGATCGACATTTCCTTCACGAGATCCTACAATCCTGCATATGGTCCGAATGTTGTGTCTGTGACTGTCATGAAATGATAAGGTTATGTTAGGAGCTAAAATGAGAGGATCCAAATCCAATGCTGCCAGATTGAAAGGGGTGCGAAAGCAACTAGTCTTCTAAGAGTGGCATCTCCTCCATGTCTGCAACTGCAATCCCCTCCCCCCCTTTTTTGTTCACTACTTCAGTAGTTCTCATAAGACAGCAGTTTTCTCCTTTGCCAATAACTTTTGGTTGTAAAAAAGGAGTAGGACATTGATAGGAATCAAACAGTAGACAAACACGTTCTCTGAATAATGCTTGTATTAAAGTTTAATTCCAGTAAAATCAACAAAGTTCAACAAGAACCCAATTCTAATTACACACTATAGTGCTGCTATAGCTCAGAACTTGCAAAATCAAATAAAGGAAAAATTGTCAGAATGTAAATGGTTTTCAGGAAACTTTCGAGACGTCCTGATATCTCCCTTTTGCATGCGCAAACCAGAATGACCTCCACGGTGCCTTCTCTCACGCACCCACATGCTTATGTAACAAACTTCTCCAATGCACTAGCAAACTTGTTGAGTCACAAACGTTGCTGAGTCACAAACGTTCAGGGTCTTTGGGCTTCTTGCTCCTATCGTGGTTTCTGACATAGACTTTACCAAATTGGGCCTTGTGGAGTTGGGCCCTATCAATACTCCCCCTTAAAGAAAGCACCTTGTCCTCAAGGTGGAAATCAGGAAATTGTGCTTGCATAGCAGTAAAATTTACCCAAGAATTTTCTAAAGATGGAAGGTCATGCCACTGAATGAGGACCTGCAGTATGCTTTTGTGGTCCCTGCGCCATTGTAGCACCTGTTCTGGCTCAACCACGAGTTCCCACCCTTCAGACAATGCAGGAGGAAGAGGCTGGACATTAATAACAGGACTCACGGCCTTCTTGAGCAGGGACAAGTGAAAAACTGGGTGGATTTTGCTAGAAGATGGGAGAGCCAACTTATAAGCAGTGTCACCAATCCTTGCCAGCACTTCAAACGGACCATAATAACGGGGACTTAATTTCTCATTGATTTTAGATGCCAAAGATTTCAACCTATACGGCTGTAGACGCAAATAAACAGAATTGCCTACCTCAAATTGCACGTCTCTCCTCTTTTTATCAGCCTGAGTCTTCATACGTTCTTGAGCCTTGTGTAAATTCTCTTTTAATTCAGCTAAGATAAGTTCCCTTTCTACCAACAAATGAGATACAACATCCACAGTAAGGAAACTGTTTCCAACCTGAAACAGACTAGGAGGATCCACTCCATAAAGTGCTTTAAACGGGGTCATTCCCGTGGAACTCTTATAGGCGGTGTTGTACCAATACTTGGCCCAATGCAACCACTTAGGCCAGATACGAGGCTTGGGACTACAAAAACATCGCAAATATGTTTCTAGACTCCTATTCACTACCTCCGATTGGCCATTGGACTGAGGGTGGTAAGCAGTAGTGAACTAAAGTTTTGTTCCAGCACTTTTAAATAACTCTGACCAGAAATGGCTTTGAAATACCCGGTCCCTATCAGAAACGATGGTAGAGGGGAACCCATGTAGTCGGACTACCTCCCTCACAAACAATTCAGCCACTTCCTTGGCAGAATATGGATGAGCCAAAGGAATGAAGTGTGCATACTTAGTGAGCCGGTCCACCACAACAAAAATAGTATCAACACCATGAGCCTTGGGCAACCCACCAATGAAGTCCATGGACACATCTGTCCAAATCTGGGACGGTATTGGTAAAGGTTGAAGCAACCCAGCAGGGGACAAATTTTGAATCTTATTTTTTTGACAAATGGCACAATCCAAGACATACTGTTGCACGGTCTTACGCATACCCTCCCAAAAAACCACTCCAACCATTCGCTTAAAGGTTCTGGAAAAACCAGAATGGACACCAATACAAGAATCATGGAACTCAGACAGAATAGAGGAGATGAAGCGAGAAGATTTGGATAATACTAACCGATCCTTGAAGAAAAGGCGTCCCCCGTGTAGCTGAAAACCCGGATGAGAGGCTGGATCCTCCAATAAATTCTGAATTATTCCCCGAAGCCGATTGTCAGCCTGCACTTCCGTATCAATCTCTTCCAACTGAGGAAGTTGCACCTTGGAGAGAAGAAGAAACTCTTCATTTCTAGACAAAGCATCTACAACAACATTTCCCTTACCCGGCTGATAAAGGATCTCAAAGTCATACCCCAACAATTTGGAAACCCATTTTTGTTGGTCCTCACCAAGAACCCGTTGCTCCAACAAAAACTTGAGGCTCTTTTGATCGGTTTTAACTATAAAATGTCGTCCCAACAAGTAGGGCCTCCATTTCTGGACTGCAAACACCACGGCCATTAATTCCTTTTCATAGACTGATTTCCCCATGGCCCGCTGTGAGAATCCTCTACTAATATAAGCTAAAGGCCTGCCCTCCTGCATTAACACAACACCTATGCCTTTGCCAGAAGCATCAGTAACCACCACGAAAGTCTTGGAGAAATCCGGTAAGGCCAAAACAGGAACAGAACTCATTAATTTTTTTAACTCAGCAAACGCAACCTGTGCCTCCTCTCCCCATTTGAAGGCATCCTTCTTTAACAAGTCAGTTAATGGTCGGGCTATCTTCCCATAATCCTTGACAAACTTCCGATAATAACCCGTTAACCCCAAAAAACCTCTCAGCCCTTTAACATTCCTTGGAACTGGCCAATCTTCCATGGCCTTGATCTTAACTGGATCAGCCTTGACTCCTTCTTCAGTAACAATGTGCCCCAAATACTCCACCTGCATCTGTCCAAAACGCATTTCTTCCTATTTGCAAACAGTTTATGGGTACGCAGAATTTCAAAAATAGTCCTCAAGTGACCCACATGCTCAGCGGCCCCCTTGCTATAGACCAATATATCGTCAAAAAAAACCAGGGCAAATTTTCTCAGATGAGGTTTCAGCTCATCATTCATAAGGGCTTGGAATGTAGAAGGGGCGTTAGTAAGGCCAAATGGCATTACTAAATATTCGTAATGCCCCTCATGAGTCCGGAATGCTGTTTTAGGGATATCCCCCTCATTCATTCGAATCTGATTAAATCCGGACTTGAGGTCCAGCTTGCTAAACACCTTTGACCCTCCTACTTCATCCAATAATTCATCTACCACTGGTAGGGGGAACTTATCAGGGACAGTGATCTTGTTCAAAGCCCTATAATCAACACATGTCCTCCAACTCCCATCTTTTGTTTTCACCAATATAACAGGGCTTGAATAGGGACTCACACTAGGCCTAATCATACCATCACTTAATAATTCTACCACTAACTTCTCAATCTCAGATTATTGAGAAAAAGGATATCGGTAAGGCCTACTGTTAGGTACCCGTGCGCCTGGCTTCAAAACAATAGCATGATCCTGACTTCTCTTTGGAGGAAACCCTTTGGCTTCAGCGAAAGTGTCACCAAATTCAACTAGCAAATCATCCAGCTCTTTCCACTCTTCCTGAAAGTTCTGAGAAGCTGCTGAACCTTCCCACTGCACAAAATAACCTTGACCCTCCTGCTCCAAAGCCTTGGCCATCGATTTAAGAGAATAAATGGTTTTAGAGAGTGTAGGGTCTCCTTTAATAACAGCTTCGTGACCCTTGGAGACATACTTGATAGCCAACTCTCTAAAATTCGCCTTTATTTCCCCCAATTCCTTGAGCCAATCCAGCCCCAACACCACATCTGCCCCTCCCAAGTCAAATAGGAACAAGTCTTGGACGATAGTGCTTCCCTGGATGGCAATTGCAACCCCTCGACAAACCCCTTGACAGGATACCTTGTGCCCGTTCCCAATTTCAACCGAGTATGTGGGGGTCGATTCCACCGTAAAACCTAAATGATCAACCAACCCTTGCTTAACAAAATTGCTCGAGGCCCCACAATCTATGAGCACCTCAACACTCTGGCCATCGATCACCCCCCAAACCTTCATGGATTGATTAGACGAAATTCCCATCAGGCTCTGCAACGTTAGCTGGAGAGCTACGTCTTCTTCGTTCTTCAGCTGCTCAGCAGTAACCAACAGGTTCTCGTCCTCTGCTGCTGACGGATCTCCCAAATCTTTGTCATCAACGATGAGGAGATGTAGTTGTCGCGCTGTGCATTTGTGCTCGGGCCCCCACTTCTCATTACACTTGAAACACAAACCCAGCCATCTCCGCTCCTGTGACTCCGCGTCGGAGAGTCGCCGGAATTTGCTCTTGGGAGCCTCCGTCACGCGACTTTTGGCAACGCTGCCTTGGGAAGATTCGGGTTGCATAGTTCGCCCTAAATTAGATTTAGGGATTTCAGAATTTCCCTTCTGATAGTTACTAGAAGCGGACACATTAAGTTGTGTGGACTTTGGGCCGAAATTCGTTTTAGTAGGCCCATTATAATTTTTTGGTCCAAAAAATCCAACTCCCTCCTCAGTCCATGCTGCATTTCTGATGTCGATTTTATGAGCCAATTTCATCATGGATGATAACCCAAGCCCAGGGTTCATGAGGACTTCTTCTCTGATGCTACCCCTCAGCCCACTCAGCCAAGCTCCTTTCAATACCTCTTCGTCAGCGTATCTCATCGTCCCAACTATGGCTTCGAACTCAGCGCGAAATTCAGCCACCGTGCCATTTTGTTTCAACGCGTATAAAGGTCCATAAGGATTGTCAAGCATCGATGGTTGGAACCTGCCTAAGATTTCACGCCTAAACCCATTCCAGGTGACGATGGGATTACTGAGCTCCCACCATTGATACCAGGAAAGAGCCTCTCCCTCCAAAACTAACATGACAGCACCAACCTTCTCATCATCCCCTACCTCATTCACTTGAAAATACCTTTCTACCTTGCTCAACCAGGCATAAGCGTTAAGCTCAGAGAAAGTAGGGATTTCCAGTCGTCTGCCCCTTACATCACCGAGACCTGCCCCTCCCTGGTTACCATTCGAACCAGAAGCCTCGTTCCTCCTTCGTCCTCCGTAATTGAGTTCATCGCCAAAATCTTCAGATCTGAGCTATTGAATTCCAGCTCCAAGCTCTCTCAGTTGTCTTATGATCTCTGCCTGGTTAGCATCGCTCGCGTCCATCCTCTTAATCAATTCATCTTGTCCCAATTCTGTTCTTCGTAACCTTTCTTCCATTCCCTCCATGTTTCGAGTTCGTACCATAACCCTGCTCCCAATCGGAGCTTTGAATACCACTTTGATAGGAATTAAACAGTAGACAAACACGTTCTCTGAATAATGCTTGTATTAAAGTTTAATTCCAGTAAAATCAACAAAGTTCAACAAGAACCCAATTCTAATTACACACTATAGTGCTGCTATAGCTCAGAACTTGCAAAATCAAATAAAGGAAAAATTGACAGAATGTAAATGGTTTCAGGAAACTTTCGAGACGTCCTGATATCTCCCTTTTGCATGCGCAAACCAGAATGACCTCCACGGTGCCTTCTCTCACGCACCCACATGCTTATGTAACAAACTTCTCCAATGCACTAACAAACTTGCTAAGTCACAAACGTTGCTGAGTCACAAACGTTCAGGGTCTTTGGGCTTCTTGCTCCTATCGTGGTTTCTGACATAGACTTTACCAAATTGGGCCTTGTGGAGTTGGGCCCTATCAGACATCAAATAATGAAATAATTTGCATAAAATGGAAATATAAAATCCCAAAATTTTGGCCAATAAAGTGTTTTAAAACTGTTAGGTACACTCATATCTACATATTTGTTAGATAACCATGGTCGATCGCTATCCAGCAAACATATTTCAAAGGTGACCATTTTTCGTATAATGGAGGGAAGTGTCAAGATGGTGAAAATATGTACCAAACATGTTTCTGATGGTAAGGGTACATGAATTTGAACCCAGAAGCATTAATCATCTCCCTGTATTTATGAATATGCACCACCAGATAATATTCATATATGATACTAGTTAATAAACCCATAAAAAGATGACATAACAGCTACCTTTCAGCAAAACAGCGTCAAAGAAAGGAAAATGTGGTAGGAAGCAGATTGGAGCATGCAATACAACTAGCCAAATTTATTAAGATTAGGCTAGCCATTTAACTGGCAACACTCTTTGGAATTGAAATCTATTAACAAATTTTCCACAAAATTCCAAAAATTACTTTTTCATATGACAGAATAAGAAGAAACTAAAAAAGAGAGGTTTAATCATTTATGATGATCTCTCCAAACAAGCACAGGCTTATCGCCAAATGTCTCTTCTATTACGAAGACCGCCGGGTCACGAAGCTTATCCGGGAATGTTTTTTATTTGCATTCGCCCCTTCAACCCTTTGAGCGAAATGCGGCAAAAGGAAAAAAATCCATGGACCGACCCCATCGTCTCCACCCCGTAGGAAAAGTTAAGATTTCAAGACAATTTTGAAGTACAATTGATAACAAGTACAACAAGGACAGCAGTAAAACAATTACCGAATCCAGAAATAAAGGTTGACCATCTTCTAAGAATATATTATTGGTGCTTCTATATAGATCAAAATCCCATTTTTCTCCACTTTCATGGCGCCCACTCGTAATCCAATCAACAATGACCAAATTTGAGTCTGAAAACACACTGAAGACTTGTTTCTGATAGTATCTTGCAGTGGAAAAACATGTTACTGGATCTGGAATGATGGCTAAAAGCGCATTGCTTCCAACTCGTGCCTACTACACAGGATGATTTAGCTGTTGTCAAAACTTCAATTCATTGGACTCATAACAATTTTATAATACTCATGCCATGGCCATAAATCTTGATCACCATCAGTTATTGAAAAGCGAAAAACAATCAATGCCAATCCTTTTTCTATCATGTAAAATGACAACTCCTTAAGTTAATAATGACAAGCATAAATTCAAGAACCTCAAAAGAAATATACAGTCTTGTTACCTCTAATGTTTGTTCAGAACACTTAGATCCCACAGATTTGAAGACCTAAACAAAAAAAAAAAACAAATTTATCAATAATATAAACATAAGCCTAGTTGAAGACCAGAATTCACTCTGACCAAAAGCAACTAATCAAAGAGATAAAGCATCATATTCATAAGCACCTGACCCAGAAGTCATCACAGTCCAAAATAAATCACTTGAAGGAGGGAAAAAAAAAAAACTAATCAATAAGAAAAAAAGTAGTCAACCTTAGTAGAACCTTGGGTGGTTAACACCATGGTACAAGTATCTCCCACAGAAAACTTGCAAGAAATGTGATCACCCTACATCTCATAATGCAAGAACAAATCCAAAGTCAAATGCAAATAGAAACATAAAACCAAGGCAGTGGAAAAAAACCAAAAAAGAAAAAGAACTTACAGATAAAATTCCACCTCCATAAGTGAGGGCATAAACCCAGACAACATCAGTTTTGGAAGAACCCACCTAAGCAATCAGTGAAAGAAACATTCTTGCCATGTCAAGCTAAGATTTTTGTGAGACAAGCACACGAGCCTACGCTCTTTAAGTAAAAACATGACTGAGAAAAAAAAAGAAAAGTTAAAGATTGTTCAAAACCTTTTTGGGTATGATGAACTTTAGGGGATATCTTGCTAAGCAGTTTGTCACTGATGATTTGCCTCCGACTTTGTTGGAATAGAAGATTCTATATGTTGTTATGATTTGCTGTGATATGTTGTAACCTGTAGTTTGTTAGGATATGTATAACTGAGTCCTATTGTAATTAGGTGTAGTTACTTATCTTTAGGAAGTTGTTTTACTATTTGGTAACAGACTGTTTGGTAACAACCGTAACAGCCTATTCTATTTAAGATACATTGATGTACAGTTTTAAATCAATGGAAATACTATCAATTGATACCATTTATCATGGTATCAGAGTCTCACCGTCCCCCGCTTTAAAAGTGGAATTAAAATAAAAATAAAAAAAAGCACAAAAAAGGTAAACCAAAAATGGGCCTGTGCAATTTCCACGCTTCTAGCCTAAAGGGCTCTTGCGTGAGGGGACGTGTTGAGATATATAGTCCCACATTGATTGGATGGGCAACTAATATGGCCTTTATAAGGCCTTGAACACTCTCACCCTTTGAGCTAGCTTTTGGGGTGGTGTATCCCAAGGTTCTTTACATGGTATCAGAGCGATCCCTTGTTAAAAAAAAAAAAAAAAAAACTTCCGCAACGTGTAGACTCTGAAAACAGTGAGCAAGAGATAGCTTCTGTTGAAGATGGCCAATGAAAACAGCAGCAGGTTGAAGCCATCAGACCCTGGATCACCATTCTATCTAACTGGATCAGATAGCCCAGGGATTCTTTTAACAACCGTTATGCTGAGAGGAGAAGCCAACTACGAGAATTGGAGCAGTAACCCACAAGGAGGATTCCATGCAAAGCCATTTGGTGCACACGCAGCTCAAACGGAGGAACCACTAGAGCAAGCAAATGCATTCGCTGTTCTGACACCTGACGTGGTGACACAATTGTTATCATTGGTTGACAACCCGCAACGCTCAAAGGACAAATTAAATCGTAAAGATTCCCATTGTCACTGGCTTATAGATAGTGGTGCATCACGCCACATGACAGGGGTATTGGAATTGCTGGAGAATGTTACAGATGTTGAACCTTTGGCAATCGGTTTACCCAATGGAGCTATTACTTATGCTGTGCAACAAGGATCTGTTTCGTTTACTCCTTCTTTTTCATTATCCAATGTCTTATTTGTGCCAAATTTAAAGTGTAACTTGATATCTGTATCTCAGTTGGTACGACAACATAATGTTGATGTGGTATTCACTAATAATAGTTGTGTTTTGCAGGACCGCAAGCTGAGGACGGAGATTGGATTGGGTGATCACAGGGATGGTGTGTATGTGTTTCGACCAAGCCAAGCAGCAGCTTTAACAGTTCGCTCCAGTGATACGCAAGAACTTTGGCACAAGCGGTTGGGCCATGCATCATCCGAAGCACTTTCTCTGATTCCTTTTTCTAGTAGCATTCGATTTGGCAATGTAAACAATAAGGCATGCGATATTTGTTATCGTGCCAAACAAAATCGATCCTCGTTTCCCATTAGTGATCGAAAGAGTAATAAAATTTTTGATCTTCTTCATTGTGATACATGGGGTCCTTACCGCACTTCCTCTTTCTCTGGTGCTTATTATTTTTTAACGATAGTCGATGACTTCAGTCGTGCTGTTTGGGTTTGTTTGATAGGTGACAAAAGTGAAACTTTTGGTGTGTTACGAAAATTTCTTTTAATGGTGCAAAATCAGTTTAATACAACAGTTAAGAGTATTAGATCAGATAATGGAACTGAATTTACTTCCAACAAGATGATTGAATTATTCACTGCCAATGGTATATTTCATCAGAAATCCTGTGTTCATACGCCGCAACAGAACGGTCGGGTAGAACGGAAGCATAGGCATATTCTAAATGTGTCTCGTGCTCTTTTGTTTCAAGCAAACTTGCCAATCAAATTCTGGGGAGAGAGTGTGATGACAGCAGCTCATATTATTAATAGAACTCCCACAAAGCTTCTCAATGGCAAAACTCCTTATGAGCTTTTGCATGGATCTGTTGCTGATTACAGTCACTTAAGGATATTTGGCTGCCTATGTTATGCGGTGACACAACCAAAACCTACAAACAAATTTAGTCCACGGTCTAGGCGGTGTATGTTTGTTGGTTATCCTCATGGGCAGAAAGGTTGGAGAGTGTATGATCTTAATACTAAGGAATTCTTTGTGTCACGAGATGTCAGTTTCCACGAAGATGAGTTTCCTTTTGTTGCTATAAGTGTGCCTACACCTAGCCCATCATTACCTACATTTATACCAATAGATTCTAATGATTCTGCCAATCCAGTATCTCAATCAACTTCAAATGATTGTGAGGCAGAAGTGCAGTTGGAAGATAGGGGGAGTGTCCATCAGTCTGAAAGGGAGCCGAATGAAGATTCTACATCAAATGCTGATCAAGTGCAAAGGAGTGAGGATCCAGCTCCTGCTCTCGTACAAAGGAATGAAGATTCAGCTCACGAACTTGTGCAAAGAAGTGCAGAATCAGCTCAAAACGATTCTCTTCGTCCAGCACGCACACGAAGGCCTCCGTCCTATTTGAGTAACTACAAATGTAATCTGATTGAGGCACATACATACACTCCCAGTCTCACCTCTTCTAGCTCCACCTCAGGTATACGGTATCCAATTGCCAACTATGTGAATACTAACAATTTTTCTTCAAAACATCGAGTTTTTGTTGCTGCTATTGATGCAGGTAGTGAACCTCGGTCATTTAAAGAAGCAATGACCAATGATGTTTGGCGTAAAGCTATGGCTCAGGAGATACATGCACTAGAAGAAAATAATACGTGGACTATCACTGATTTACCTGCAGGCAAACATGCCCTTCCATGTAAATGGGTATATAAAATTAAATATCATTCCAATGGTAGCATCGAGCGCTACAAAGCAAGGTTGGTAATTGCAGGTAATCATCAAGTTCCAGGAGAAGATTTCCATGAAACTTACGCTCCTGTAGCGAAAATGGTGAGTGTTAGAACTCTACTCTCGGTTGCAGCTGCAAAAGGTTGGTACTTGCACCAAATGGATGTTCATAATGCGTTTCTTAATGGAGAACTGGACGAAGAAGTGTATATGCGCATACCGGCAGGCTTTAATCAAGGACAAGGAAGAAAAGTGTGTCGTTTGCAAAGGTCGTTATATGGCTTACGACAATCTCCCAGGAATTGGTTTGCAAAGTTGAGTTCCTCACTTATTAAATACGGTTTTGTTCAATCCGAAGCAGATCACACTTTGTTCACTTTGAAGCGTGGTTCTACCTTCTTGACCATACTAGTCTATGTTGATGATTTGGTGTTGGCAGGCAATGATTCCCAAGCATGTCAAGAGGTTAAGATTTATCTTAACAAGTGTTTTAAAATTAAAGATTTGGGTCACTTGAAATATTTTTTGGGCATCGAGGTTGCCCGTAGCAATGAGGGTATCTTCTTGTGCCAACGAAAATATGCATTAGATATCCTCAAAGAAACAGGTTTGTTGGATTGTAAACCGGTTCAGTTTCCAATTGAACAGAATCATCGCTTAGCTCTGGCAGATGGACCTGACTATGATGATCCAGGTCGCTATAGAAGAATTGTCGGCAAGCTAGTGTACCTTACGATCACTCGTCCTGATTTGAGTTATGTAGTGCACACTCTTTCACAGTTCATGCAAGCTCCAAAGGAAGCACATTATGAGGCTGCCATTCGGGTACTAAGATACATCAAAATGAATCCTGGCCAAGGTATCCTCCTTTCTTCCAAAAGTGATCTCAAAATTCATGCTTTCTGTGATTCAGATTGGGCCAGCTGCCCTTTAACTCGCCGGTCAGTTTCTGGGTTCTTCATTATGCTTGGAACCTCACCTGTTTCTTGGAAAACAAAGAAGCAACTCACTGTCTCACGCTCCTCAGCAGAGGCTGAGTACCGCTCCATGGCTGCCGCGACAGCAGAATTGATATGGTTGAAGTCTTTTCTTGCTTCACTTGATGTTATCCATGATGATCCTATGGAATTATGTTGTGATAATCAAGCCGCTATACATATCGCGGCAAATCCTGTGTTCCATGAGCGAACTAAACACATTGAAATTGATTGCCATTTTGTCCGGGAAAGGTTGGTTTCTAAGACGATTCGAACTACTTTTGTTCGTTCTCATTTGCAACTCGCAGACATTTTCACCAAAGCACTTGGTCGTGTTCCATTTCTTGCCGTTCTTTCCAAGTTAGGCATTTCATGTCTTCATGCTCCAACTTGAGGGGGAGTGTTGGAATAGAAGATTCTATATGTTGTTATGATTTGCTGTGATATGTTGTAACCTGTAGTTTGTTAGGATATGTATAACTGAGTCCTATTGTAATTAGGTGTAGTTACTTATCTTTAGGAAGTTGTTTTACTATTTGGTAACAGACTGTTTGGTAACAAAACCGTAACAGCCTATTCTATTGATGTACATTGATTTTTCAACTATCAAAATACCCATTTCAATTTCTTTGTCTCTTTCCCCATTTCTCATTCTTCCTCCACTGTCAACAGATGATGGTTCCTTGTACTTGTTTTAGAAAAAAGAAAAAACATACAGTTTTAAATCAATGGAAATACTATCAATTGATACCATTTAATTTTTAGTTAATATTATCATAGTTAAACTCTTGATTTATTATCTATAATGCATTGACATTCATACGACACGTCGACACGTTAATTTTAAAAAATATTATATTTTGACAGGTTGGGACACACGCTTTAGTATTACATAATATTTTTAATATATATAATATAATTTATATTTAATACATATAACAGTCCATAAAAAGTCATATAATCAATTTAATATTCAAATTTTATAACATAAATATAAATAAAAATAATTTTTCGTATTTTTTTAATTTTTCATATCAAATTTCATAACAGAGAAAAATTGATTTATAAATTATTTTTCATGTTTAGTTAATAAAATAAAATTAAGTTTTAAAAAAAAATGTTGAATGCATATCGGAACATTAACCGCGTATCAAAAACAGTTAACTGCGTGTCGGAACGTGTCAAAACATTGACCGCTAGTACCAAAATGTTGACTGCGTGTCAGAATGTGTCGGAGCGTGTCGGTGTCCGACACGTGTCCGACACACATCTTTCAATTTTTTTGCGTATCAGTGCTATATTGTTTATTATGATAATTTATTTTATAATTTTTTTATCAAAAATATTTTATTAATATTTTAAATGTTTTTATAATTTTTTATAACTTTTTAATATTACAATTTTACTTTTGATAAAATTTTATCTCCATTTTAATTTTA